TAATTAGGCTAAAGAAATCCTAAAAGAAATTCTAAATAATTAATCTAATTTAATTAATTTATTATTTATAATAATATATTTATTATAGTAATTATATTATTACTAGCTTTATTTAAATTTTTATTCTAATTATTTTTCTTATATAAGTATATTTAAATTAGTTTATTTCTAGTTTTAATAATTAGTTTTTTTATTTAATCTTCTATTTTAGCTAAGTTATTTATTCTTTTTATAAATAATTCTTTTAATTTTATTAAGCTTTTTATTTATTTTATAGGTAAGCTTTTTGCTTTATTTATAAAGGCTATTAATAAACCTTATTACTAGTTCCAAAAAGATTATTTCCTGCTTTTATTAGTTTAGTATATTTTTCTAATAGTTCTAATATATTCTATTATATTTTTCTTTATAGTATTAAGTTTTTTTAAAAGCTTAATACTTTTATTTCTATTATTTCTAGATTCTAATATATTTTCTAATTCTAGAATATTTTATAGAATTATGAGTTCTATTTCTAGTAAAGCTATAAAGCTTTCTATTTTCGAATTATAATCTATTAATATACTTATAGGCTCTTTTATTTATTAGTTTATTTATTTATTATTTTCTAATTCAGGCTTATTTTTTTATTTATTCTAATAAGCTATTATATTATAATTTCTTATTATTAAAGATTAATTTAGTATTCTAAATCTTATTTTCTAGATATAGTTCTATTATATTTTTTATAATCTTTATATTTTTTATATTAATATATTTATAATTCTTTTTATAAAGAATATTTTTATTAAATATAATATTATATATAATAATTATTTTATTAAATTCAAGAATCCAGATTTTATAAATATTGAATATAATATAACTTTAAATACTTTTTTATTTTATTTTACTTTATAGTTCTTAATTATTAGATATATTCTAGAATTATATATATAAATTCTATTCTAATCTGGCCTGAAATTAACTATTATTTATACTATAAGCTTTAAGTTATATTAATAGAAATAATTACGAAATTATAAATTAAATATTTTATTTAGTATTCTCTAATTATTTATAAATAAGAAACTCTAATTATATAAATAAATTATAGCTATAGAGCTTTCTAGTTATAGCTATTTAGATAAATTAGCTATTAAGTATATTATAATAATCTTATTTATAATTTCTTACTTTATTTATTTAGTATTATTATTTGGCTTATATATATATAAAAAAGAAAACTCGATTTTAATATCTTTTTTCTTTATTTAAATCTAATAAGCTAATATTTCTTAAATTAGAATAATTGCTTTCTTCTAATTATATTTAATATAAATAATTAAAAGATTATATTATTTATATATTTATTATTTAAAATTCTTAATTATATTAAATATTAGTAAATTTCCTTTATTTAATAAAAGATATTTAAAAATCTTTCTATTAAATTTGTTTTTAATTATTAGAATTTAGTTCGCACTATTATAGCTATTTAAATAATTAAATAAATCTTATAAAATTCTTTAAAATAGTCGAATAAACTTTTTCTTAATTAGCTTATATAAGATTACTTATCTAATATATATCTAAATATAAAATTTATATAAAAATTTTATTAGTTTATTAATTTTTATATTATATATATAATTAATAAGCTTTTATAAAGCTTTATAAGCTAATTATCTTGCTTTTATATATTATTTTTCTTTTAAATTATTTTTCGGCTTAAGATATTTTTTTAATTTCTTATACTAAGCTTTAATTAAATATTTAAATATTAGAAATATAAATATATTACTAGTACTAATAGGAATTTCGAATAAAATATTAGAATAAATAAAGAATAGCTTATATTTAAGAAAAACTAAATTAAACTTATATTCTAATTATATTAATATTATATTCTTTTTATAATTTCCTAGTTTAATTATAAGATTATATTTATAATATTAAGCTTTTTTTTTATTAAATAAGTTTTAGAAATAATATTTATATAAAACTTTTTAATAATTATAATATAATAAAAAAATTAGATATTTAATATATAATTCTTTTCTAATAACTAATATAATTATAACTTATTTTAATCTAGAAATAAAATAATTTAATATTATTAATATATTTATTAATATAAAAAGAGATTCTAATAGAGCTATAATAATATATAAGCTATTAGACGATTTCAAGATATTAGAATATATAATAGAAATAAATTAAGCTTTATATAAGTTATAAAACTTTCCTGTTTTATAATATAAATATTAAATAAATACTCTTAAAAGAATTAGACTTTTTGAATTTAATAAAAAGCTTTATATTTATATAAATATAGATTATAAGGTCTTTATTATTTTCTATATAAATAACTTTTAAGTACTTTATTATAAGAATAATAAAATATATTTAATTAATTATTACTTAAATTAAAAAGATTTATAAGCTTTATAATATACGAGATATAGAATAGTTTCTAGAGATTTATATAATTAGAAATTAGAAAGCTAAAAAACTTTAGCTAATTTATAATACTTATATTAAAAAGATTATTAAGAAGTTTAGAATAATAAATAGAAAATATTCTAATATTTTATTATTTAGAATTAATTTTCGAAAATATAATAATTAAGCTTATTTATATTAAATTAAGATATATTAAAAGAAAATTAGATTATTACTTTATATTATAATTATAATTAGACTAGATATAACTTGTATTATTTTAATATTCTTTTAGTTAATAAATTCTGTTCTAGAATACTTTATAGTTATAAATTAGGTTTTCTAATATTTTTTTAGAACCCGGTTTTTAGTAATTTAATATAATAGGAAATATAGAGAAATATAATTATAGATTATATTTAATACTTTATATATAAATAATCTAGATATATAATAATTAAACTATAAGTATATAATTTTTTTATTTAGAGATTTAATATTATAAAAAGCTATTTAATTATAATAGTTCTTATTATATATTCCGTACCTAATTAGAACTAGTACGGCTCGCTAAGCTATATATATATACTTTATACTTAAGCTCGGTTCTTTCCTTAAGAAACTTCTTTTTTTTTTCTTATTTTAGAATTCTTAATAAATAATTCCTCTCGCAAGTACTTTATTCCTGAGCTCTCTTTATAGGTTCGTAATATTAATAAAGTATTATAATTATTTCTTTAACTAAATTAGAAATATATAAAATTATTTATATAATAAAGAAAACTATAACTTTTTAGAGATTATTTAGGGATTTATATTTAAATCTTAGAAAGCTCTAGATTATATTCTATAATAATAAGTAAATTATTTAACTAATTATTAAAGAAAATAAAAGAATTATTATAAAGCTTTATTATATTAATATCTAGAATATATAGCTATATTAAAAATATAATAAAAGCGTTTTTTAAGTTATATATCTTTAAATAAGTAATATATCTATAAATAGACTTATAAAAAATCTATTCTAATTTAAATTCGAGAACTTTAGAGCTTTATTAAATCTTTAGAATATTAGAATAAAAATTAAAATAATTAAATAATATAAAAAGAAGCTTTTATTTATATTTTTCATTTATAAAATTTATTAAAATAATAGAACTTAAAAGCTAATAATAGAAGATTTAAGGGCATTTTATTATAGTATTAATAAGCTTATATAAAAGGCCCTTTATTTAATTAGACTATTTCTTATTTTTTTAATAGTTTTTAAAGCCTTAATAGAAAAGCTTTTATTATTATTCTTTTTATTAGATTTAGTAATTTCAAGTATAATATAAATAGAATACTTAAAAGCAAATAAATGCTTTAAAAGAATTAGAATTTATAAAAAGAATTAAGAAAAAAAAGCTTATAATATTTTTAGTAATTAAGAATTTAATTAAAAAAAAGCTATATAATAGAAATATAAGAGATTAGAATAATAAAACAAAAATAACTAGAAATATATTTCTAGTAATAAGAACTATTACTTTTGTTTTTTAGAATAGAAAAGATTATATTAAATTAAAATAAGCTTTAAAATAATATAAAGAACTTATAATAACTTATATAAGAAATTTCTCTAAAACTAGTATATATTATAAGTATAAGATCTAGAGCCTAAAAAATATAATTAGACTATTTCTATTTTAATAATTTAAAGCTAAAAAGAGAAAAGAATCTCAAAGAAGCCTCGGATCTAAATAATTACAAGCTATATATAGGCCTATATACTAGCTTAAGCTCGGGATTATATATAATAATTAGGTAATTATAGATATCTTATTTAGATATTAGATGCCTCTCTTAAATACTAGATATCTTACTAGCTCTAGTCTAATCTTTACTAGTATTATATATTATAATAACTATAATATTACTTCTTTCCTTAAAATAAGCTTATTCCCGAGCTTTAAAAGTCCCTATTAAATTTCCAAATTACAGGTTATATATTAAAGGCCAAGGTCTTTTATATATAACTTTAAAGAATTTCTATTCGTATTATATAATTCTAGTAATATATTATTCTTAGTATAGTCTAACTAATAGAAGAGGTTCTGGGGCAGTTCTAGCTATTCGGGGTTCTTATTATAGAAGCTCTAAAATAGGCCGAGCTATGAAGCCATGCAGAACTCGAGACTGAAAATAGTCAGGTCAAGGTACGACGCGCACATTACCTCAAAGGGGACATTGCTACGTTTGATGCCCCTTTTTTCTCCATCACGCCCAACGAGGCTACGTTCATGGATCCTCAGCAGCGAGGGCTACTGGAAACTACTTATCACGCTCTCGAAAATTGTAAGAACCATCTCTCAGTCTCCGTGATGGTGAATAAAAATCTTCTCTAACCAGTATCCCTAGCTGGCATACCCCTTGACCAGGCTGTGGGTTCGAAAACCTCGGTCTACATCGGATGCTTCACCCGTGAGTATGATGTCGTCGCGGGTCGAGATCCAGAGATCGACCTTAGATATATCGCCACTGGAACGGGATCGGCGCTGCTCTCGAACCGATTAAGCTGGTTCTACGACTTCCGCGGACCCAGTTTAACGCTCGATTCTGCGTGTTCAAGTAGTCTGAATGCTGTACATCTCGGTTGCCAGGGACTCAGGATGGGCGAGGTCTCTATGGTAGGTTCTTCCGTTTTCAAGCTTTGTGGACTTGCCAGGGGTATTTCGACGCTGACAGGGTTATACATAGGCTATCGTTGGGGGGTGTAATCTCTTCTACAATCCCGACACCATGGTACCCCTTACGGGTCTTGGATTTCTCTCGGCAGACGGCAAGTGTTACACATTTGACAGTCGAGCAAATGGCTACTCTCGCGGCGAGGGCTTTGGCATGGTTGTTCTGAAGCGCATGTCAGATGCTGTTCGTGACGGTAATGTTGTTCGTGCAGTGATCCGTGCCACGTCCTCCAACCAGGACGGAAAGTCTCCAGGCATAACGCAGCCTACACGCCAGGGTCAGGCTGTCTTGATCCGCGAGGCATACGAGAAGGCGAATCTCGACCTCAGCGTCACGCGGTTCTTCGAGGCGCATGGAACTGGTACACCGATGGGTGATCCGATCGAGGCCAGTGCCATCAGCGAGGTGTTCACGCCGTATCGGTCTGCCGAAGAGCCCATGTTCGTCGGCGCCCTGAAGAGCAACATTGGCCATCTGGAGGGCGCTGCTGGTATTGCCGGACTCATCAAAGCTGTCGCTGCGCTGGAGAGTGGTGTCATCCCTCCAAATATCTGGTTTGAACAGGTGAATCCAAGGATACCGGCCGATAAGTGGCACCTCAAGTTCCCGGTACGGCCAACATTATGGCCTCAACATGGGCTGCGTAGGGCTTCGGTCAACTCCTTTGGTTATGGTGGGAGTAATGCGCATGTCGTTCTTGATGATGCACATCATTACATGCTCGATCGCCACATCGACGGAGAGCACAGGACAACCACCAGCCCCAAACTACCCAGCTTGGGTTTCACCGAGACAATTACCGTTGCGGATGGATCCCTGCCAGACCACCAGGACCTTCGTCCAAACGAGGTTCACAGTGGGAGCCATGACGGAGTTGTCAACAGCGATCGCACGTTGCCAACACAAGTCAATGGAACGAACGGCCACAACAGCACGTACGGCGATGCATCCGGAGACCACATGCGAAAGAGGATCTTCTTGTTCTCTACAAATGACGGAGATGGTACGCGGCGCCTGGCCGAATCCTACCACGGCTATTTAGAAAGGCAGTCATCAGCCATCCGCGATGAGCAGTCATACCTCGACGACCTGAGCTACACTCTCCTGTCCAAGAGAAGTCAGTTTCTCTGGCGAACAGGCGCCGTGGCCAGTGATATCGAGTCCCTCAGGGCTGCATTGGCCGAGACTCCAGCGTCAGTACGTTCGGGGGCCAACGGTAAACTCGCCCTCGTCTTCACCGGTCAGGGAGCCCAGTGGGCAGCGATGGGCCGCGAGCTCCTCAGGTTCCCCGTTTTTGAAGCCAGTTTGACGGATGCTGACAAATACCTGACGAAGCTTGGCTGCCCATGGTCCTCGATGTTGGAGCACATGCGGGATGATGGTGAGACCATGATCAACGAGGCGGCATATAGCCAGCCGATTTGCACCATCTTGCAGGTCACTCTAGTGGAGCTATTGCACAGTTGGTCGGTCGTCATCCATGCAGTTGTTGGACACTCCTCAGGCGAAATTGCGGCGGCTTTTGCTGCTGGAGCAATCTCGCGTGAAAATGCTTGGAGGATTGCCTACTATCGTGGAAAGCTCACCTCGCAGATTGGGGGAAACGGTGCCATGTTGGCTGTTGGTTTGCCTCCACAAAAGGTATCCGAGTATATGAACGAGATATCTTCCCCAGAAAAGGGAGTCTTGTCGATTGCCTGCTACAACAGTCCAAAGAGCGTGACCGTCAGCGGGGCCTCGGCCAACATTCAAGCATTGCAAGGCCGATTAGACCAAGATTCCGTCATCAATCGGAGACTTAAGGTCACCAATGCTTACCATTCGGTTTTCATGCAAAGCATTGCAGATGAGTATCGCAAGCTCATCAGCGACCTGAAGTCGCCAATCGGATACGGCGACGAGGAGAACCTGTCAGCGCCAACATTCTACTCGTCCTTGACTGGCGACCTCCTCCAGTTGCACATGCTCCAGACGCCAGACTACTGGGTTGACAACCTGATCTCTCCAGTCAGGTTCTCAGATGCCGTCTCGAAGATGTTGACGGACAAGCCTACCCAAACCAAGGGGTCCAAGTCTGCTGCATCGGTCTTCTACCCAGTCACAGAACTTCTTGAGGTCGGACCGCATGCTGCAATACAAGGACCTCTCCGCGAGATAATGGAAAAGATCCCCGGTATGAAAGACGTCGCTTATAGATCCATTCTAAAGCGGAACTCGGATGCCGAGGACACTGCTTTGGAGGCCGCTTGTTGGCTCTGGTGCAGGGGACAGGCGATTGACATCGAGGCTATCAACGGTACAAACGCCGGAGCTTCCACAGCCAAGATGTTAGTTGACCTCCCGCCCTATCCCTTCAATCACTCCAAGTCGTACTGGAAAGAAAGTCGACTGAGCAAGGGCTACCGGTTCCGACAACACCCTCGCCTCGAACTACTCGGTGCGCCAGTGCCAGATTGGAACAAGAACAATGCAACCTGGAGGAACTGGATACGGCTCAGCGAGAACCCTTGGGTTAGAGACCACAGGGTTACTGGGAGCCTTCTCTACCCCGGGGCTGGTATGCTGGTCATGGCCATCGAAGCGAGCAAACAGCTCCTCAATCCTCAGAAGTCTCTCAAGGGCTTTCGAATGAAGGAGGTTGTGTTCAAGCTTGCACTACGAATCCCAACAGCTGCTGAGGGGATCGAGATGCACTTCCATGTTCGACCATACTTTGATAGTACATCAAGCACATCATCCAATTGGAATGAATTTCAACTCTGCAGTTACGACGGCGAAGGGTGGCGCGATCACTGCCGCGGACTTATCCAGCCTGAGTACGAGACTCCAGTTAACCCGGTTGACAACGGCATCGAAGAAGAAATATTTTTACAGCAGCGTGCAGAGTCCAGCAAAAATGCCGAGACTGCTTGCACGAAGTCGGTCTCGTCGAAGCAACTCTACGAGCTCCTTCGTACCTCCGGATTCGACTTTGGTGAAACTTTCCAAACTCTCTCTAATATCTCTATCGACAAAAATCAGGGGGCAATCGCAACTGTCAAGGCTCCCAACATCAAGAGCAAGATGGCACACGGCTATGTGCAGCCCCACTTGATCCATCCTACAACACTTGACGGCGTTATGCAGTCGGTGATCGTTGCCTTGACTCGAGGTGGCCGTGAAGTTCGCGATGCTATGGTCCCGAATGCAATCGGCCAGCTTTGGATCTCTGCAGAGGCCGATGCCACCTATGAAGCTCTCAGGGTAAGTGCCAAGGCAGAACACCTGGGTCTCCGCCAAGCGACTGCGTCCGTGATCGCCTGGAATATAGTTTCAGGGAAGCCACTCATCACTATCGATGGGTTCGTATCAACGGCCATTTCAAGCGGTCTGTCAGACCAGCAAGGCAACCGCAGTGCACATCGTCACTTGTGCTTCAACCTCGACTGGAAGCCAGACGTCACCTTCTGCAATCAGGGCTCGTTGATGAAGCTCTTCCCGCCGTCCGAGGAACTCGCTAGAGTTGACCCGACGGAGCTCATCGCCGACGTCGAGGGCATCTGCTACATGTACCTGCGCCGTTACATGAAGATCCACGTTGAGGATCAGATTACAGACGCAAAGCCATGGTATCGTAAATACATATCATGGGCGCGACATCAACTGTCCCGCCATGCGCGTGGGGAGCTAATCCACGACGGCAACGGAAACTGGGACCAAATTGCTGATGACGACGTTGCCTTTGCTAAGCTTGAGGCCAAACTCGAGAATAGCAGCCCAGAAGCTAAAATAAGCGTTATTGTTGGAAGAGCGCTGCCCGACATCCTGAGCGGCAAGGTTGACCCTCTCGAGCTGTTATTCAGCGGCTCCCTCGCGGAGGATGTGTACAGACATGGAACAGGGGGCGAGCTCTGCTACTCGTCTCTGACCAATTATCTTGATGCACTTGCTCATAAGCACAGTGATCTGGTCATTCTCGAAGTAGGAGCTGGAACGGGAGGTGCCACTCTTTCCGTTCTCAACACCCTCACTCGTCATGGGGAGTCTGAAGTCGGGGCGGGCCGTTTCGAAAGATATGATTTTACTGACATCTCGTCCTCATTCTTCGAGAACGCTAAGGTGACTTTCAAGAGCACTGTCGACCGCATGAGATTCCAGACTTTCAACATTGAGAAAGACCCCCTCGAGCAAGGCTTCCAAGCCGACCAGTACGACCTCATCATCGCCGGCAACGTCGTCCACGCCACGAAGAATATTGACCACACTCTGAAGAACCTTCGCAAATTGCTGAAGCCGGGGGGCACACTCATCCTTCACGAGCTAACCAACACCGCATTGGTTCGGACCGGCTTCGCCATTGGTTTGGTGCCTGGATGGTGGCTCTCAGAAGAACCCCACCGAGTCTGGGGCCCATTGATGTCGGCATCCGACTGGGAGGTCCATTTGAAGCGCAGTGGCTACACTGGTGTTGATCTTTGCTTCGAAGATTATCCCTATGAGCCTAACAGGATCAACAGCATACTCATCGCCAAGGGCGAAGCTTCTGTACCCCAGCCCCGGGCGCTGCCTCCGGTCATTATTGTTATAGATGGGAACTCAGACTTCCAAAACTCGGTGGCAAAGGAGATCCAGCGTGGCATCTCTTCCCTGGGAGCTCCGCGATGTGAGGTTGCTGCCATCCATCAACTCGATGGGACCGACTTTGCCGGAAAGCTGTGCGTCGTTCTTGCGGACGTCGAGGGTGGCAGCCTTCTCGAACACGTCGATGAAGCCAAGCTCAAGATCCTGCAGAAGATGACCACAAAGCTGGCATCACTGGTATGGCTGACCCTGGGCGGTGGTCCGGCGTCGCAGAATCCCAACGGCGAAATGGTGACTGGTCTTGCCAGAGTTATGCGACAGGAGAACCCAACCTTGAGCTTCATCACCATTGCAATCGCCCGACTCCGCGGCGCTGCTGTGGTCGCAGAGACGACTACGAGCATCATCAATTCGACGTTAGTAAAGAGGGCAAGGGATGCCAGAGACGCCAGCGATAACGCCTTTTACGAATCCGAGGGCGTAATTCACATTAGCCGCCTCGTGGAAGCGAGCTACATGAACGATGCGATCATCCGGAAGACCACACAGCCTGCCGCCCAGAAGCAACAGTTCGGCAGCGACCCTGAGCGTACTCTGAAACTCGTCGTCGGCTCACCTGGTCTGCTAGACACTCTTCAATTCGTCGATGACGCTGTGTATGAGCAGCCCATGGCCGAGGGCCATGTCGAGTTCAAGGTCGAAGCTGCCGGTCTTAACTTCCTCGACATTATGATTGCCCTTGGCCAAGTCACCGGGAATGACCTCGGGGTGGAGGGTGCAGGCGTTGTCACTCGAACTGGCCCTAACTCGAAATTCAAGATTGGTGACAAGGTCTGCGGTATTGCTCCTGGCACATTCAGCACCTATGCTCGAACTCTTGAGACATCCATCACCGCCATGCCGGAGAATCTGTCCTTCAGAGTTGCCGCGGGCTTGTCCGTGGTGTTTGTTACGGCCTACTGCGCTCTATACAGCATCGCAGACATCCAGCGCGGCGAATCCGTTCTGATCCATGCAGCCGCCGGCGGGGTTGGCCAGGCTTGTATCCAACTTGCCAAGGTACGCGGCGCAGAAATCTATGCCACGGTCGGTTCTACCGAGAAGCGGGACCTTCTCATCGACACGTACGGCATTTCCAAGGACCGCATCTTCTCCAGTAGGGATCTCACCTTTGCTCAAGGCATCAAGCGAGTGACGAAGGGCCGTGGTGTAGATGTCGCTGTCAACTCGCTATCTGGCGATGCTCTGCGCGCAACCTGGGATTGCATCGCCCCCTTTGGCCGCTTTGTGGAGGTCGGCAAGATCGACATCTACTCCTCAGCACGGCTGAACATGGAGAAGTTCAAGAACAACGTCCGCTTTGAGTTCGTGGATATCAGCTTCCTGGCAAGGAACAAGGGCCAGGAGTTCTCAGCTATCATGGAGGACCTGATGAGCCATGTCCGCGACGGCCACATTGGGCAGTTACATCCTACGCGCGCATTTGGATTCGGCGAAATGAATGAAGCCTTCCGTTACATGCAAAGCGGGGCACACTCTGGCAAGATTATCATGGAACCTCATGCCGACGATGTTACTTCGGTTGTCCCTCCAACAAAAAGCGCCTACGACTTCGACCCGGCAGCTTCCTTTGTTATCTCTGGCGGGCTTGGTGGTCTCGGTCGATCCATGGCAAGATGGATGTCAGCTAGGGGCGCCAAGTACCTGATCTTGCTATCTAGATCAGGGAACACCAGGGACTCATCAAGGGAACTCGTCAGCGATCTAGAGTCGATGGGAGTAAATGTGGCCACGCCGCAATGTGATGTGTCTGATATCAATTCACTGACAAAAGCCCTTGATGACTGCTATGCGAAGGGCTTCCCGAAGGCCAAGGGCTGTATCCAGGGGTCTATGGTGCTTAAGGTAAAGAAACAATTATCCAACACAACGAGAAGGATGCCGGCTAACTTGCATAATAGGATGGGCTGTTCGAGAATATGACTGTGGAAGACTACTACACTGCGGTCAGGCCCAAGCTACACGCTTCCTGGAACCTGCATAACATCCTTCCTAAAGACATGGATTTCTTCATCCTTCTGTCATCCCTCGCCACCGTTGTCGGAAATCGTGGCCAAGCAAACTACAACATTGGAAACTCGTTCCAAGACGCGCTTGCGAGATACCGCGTTCTCAACGGCCTAAAGGCAATTGCCCTCGATCTCGCCATGATCTTGTCAGTGGGGTACGTCGCCGAGACAGACTCTGACCTGGTAAATCACCTGCGCGACCTTGGCGCAGAGCCTATCCGGGAGGAAGAATTCCACGCCATCCTGGACGAGCTGTGCAACCCTTCCCTGCCCCTGCAGCCATTCATCAAGGCGCAAATCACGCTGGGTTTACAAATGCCCGAGACTCGCATATCCACCGGCGCCGAGGAGCCCGGTTGGTTTCGTGATCCGCTCTTCCAGCACCTGCACCGTATCCGAACGCTCGAAGGGGCTCCGGACTCGGACGACAAAAAGGTCAACTACGGGCCACTCCTGGCCGCGGCGGAGAGTTTCGAAGTGGCGACGAATATAGTCTACCATGCGCTGGTGGAGAAACTAACCAAGGCACTCAACATCTCGCCAGGTGACATTGATCTTACAAAGCCGATCCATTCGCTTGGCGTCGACTCGCTTATTGCGATCGAGCTGAGAACGTGGATACTGAAACAGCTCGATGCGGACGTGGCCGTGTTCGACATGATGGAACTGTCGAGCATGCGAGCCCTTGCAGGTCTGATTGCGTCTAGAAGCGGTTTTGTGACACGCGAGGAGCAGGAAGATTGAACTTTTCGACAATGGCCAAGCAACTGTTATTTTTATTATGGTCGTTATTTTTTCTTTTAACGTCCTGTGCAGGTTGAAGTCTATAGTAGGACAGTATCCTAAGACTAGCTAAGAATACAATCAGTTATTGGTCCGTGTATAGCCAATATATGCCAGGAGATATTGGGGATCGAGTCCCAAAAAGAGACATAATCAAAACGTTCCTCCTGATTCCCCCTATTTCAGACAACCCTCAAACCTCTGATTCCCTCATATATTCCTCTCCTGCTTCCGTCTGAGTTCCCTCCTTCCAAGTCTTATAGATGACTCCTACCCCACGGCCCTGTTTCCCCTTCCACGAAGTTCGTTCACGTCGTTTTTTAGTAGTCCCAAGGCTCGTACGAGGTGCCCAGAGTCTACGAGCTGCCCGCGGAAGCTTGAAAACCTGAAATGGGTAGATATAGGTGGGGAAGTGAGCAAAATTTGCGTCCTTCCCAGGGGGGATCCAAACCGCCGTCCTTTGGTCCATGCATATATAGGATGGCCTTTGCTTTATGCGAAAGGGTTCAGTCCTTGATTCGAGTCGAAAGGACCTCTGTTTCGTCTATTATATCGTCGTCGTTGTCTAACCCGCCTTTACGTCTATATATAGACTTGGCCGGGAACGCACCCAATACCACGTCTCCAACTCGAACTGAGTCAATCTCGGCTCTCCTATACTCCAAAGTAGCCTATGCGCCTTCGACAAGGCTATCATCCCTTTTTAGGTCTTCTCCTCTGTGCTTACAAGGGAGTTGTCGCTAAGAAGGCCTATAATAGTAGCTCTTTTAACTCGTAAAGTCCAAGCGCTATAGTTCTTCTACTAATAGCGCTATAACCCTAGAAGATTTACTTATCCCCTGCGAATATCTTACAGCGCCTCTTTATATCGATTTAGGGAGCACTGCCTGGTGTTATAGCGGCTTATAGCGAACTCTTACCCTAAATTCGTACCTTGTAGAGCGCCAAGGGTCAAAAGTCCTCTATTCCCGATACTTTATGCCGCGATCTCCATACTTTCAGAGGTTCTCCCCAAGACATGAGGTGTCCAACCAGAGTTTAAAACTCCTGCAAAAATCACCCTCTTAGAATCCCCCATGCCTACCTCACTACTATCCCCTCGCCTGGTGAAACATTGCTACCTTAGCGGCCGCATGAATTTAGATAGCGTAATTAAAGTAAGCGATTTGGATATTCGCGTGCGGCTGCTAAGGTGGCAATGTCTCACCAGGCGAGGGGATACCTCTTCTCTGCGACCACTCAGTAAGGCATTATTCAGACTTATTGTTCTGTAAGTTCCAAGTGTATATTCTTACACAATTATAGGACCAGACCCTGCGAGTGATTGGCGAGAGAATTTGGGGGTTTCAGGGGCGAATTTGGGACGATGCCCCTGAATGTCTCGCTTACGGAAAGCCGTAAGGATCAGGCACAGCACGTGCTCACCCCACCAAAAATCGCCCACGCTCACACACCACGCCCCCCTCTCTCTCTCTCTTCTTCTCCTTAGCTTTGTATTCTACAGGGAAATAGAGATCTTCGCGCCTCGTTCCACTGCTCTAGCTCCACCGTGACACCTACTAAAAATCTATGTCGCACGAAAAAGTTGGATACTAGATTTTTAGTACCTATGCCTTTATCCGGTGAGACATTGGCAACATTGACGGCCGCATAAATACGGATGGCTTGATTGGAGGAGACGGTTGTATTCCGACTAAACAGCGGATATTCGCGTCCGGCCCCTAGCGAGCCAACTTATCCCCATCCCTATATATAAACAAGAATTAAAGAGAGAGAGTAAATAGTTTAAGTAGTGGGAGGAGGGAGGAGATAGTATGTGGGCGTGAGTAATTTTTGGTGGGGGGAGCACGTGCCTAGTTCGAAGTTCAAAGATCAAATTTCGCTGACCCTTACGCCTTTCCCTACTGGCTAGATGAGATTTGGACTAGCCTGGTAACATAACGAGGAAAGTGGGGAGGCTCGAAAGGGAAGGCGGCCCCACATCCTCGATAAGCACCCCTTTTAAAATAAATTATAGAAATCCTACGCCTTTCCCGCCATCCACGATACGATGATTCTTTATTTCCCTCTCTTTTGGAGCCCCAGATGCATCAATCACCTGGCCGTACCCGACGCATATTGACATTCCTTGGTCTGGCCACGTTCATTCAAATTGTTCTGTTCCTTCTGTGGCATAAAAATTCTGACCCCTTCAATCGGTACTTCTCCAGCCAACAACACCAATCCCAAACAGATGAACATGAACAAGAGAGTGACCCATCGGGCAATGTCACGGCCTACTCCCATATTGTCAAGGCAGATGTCCAGCGGTACGTCCTCATCCCAACACTGCCATTGCTCTACTGACATGCCGTCCCCGCTTTAGCATAGGAAGCTTCTGGTCAACCAGCAATCATGGTCTTCCTCCGCCATTTGTATTCAATCCCATTGATACATCCGAAATAACAATCTGCGACGGACCTTCCCCTAGTCATACTGGCGGCACAACCAGAAAACTGTACGCCTATCCTTCGTTACCCGCCGACTTCCCCTCCCCAGCCTTTGGTGGCCACGATATCATCGGCACGAATGGCAGCATCTGTTTTACAAGCACGTCTCGATACGGCGCATACGGAATAAATGATAATGAGATCGAGTGGCCGGAGGTGAACTGGGGCGAGCTCCAGCAAAAATGTTTTGAGAGGAATCAACACCGGTACAACGTTAGCGGAGAGGTAGGGAAGAAAGCCCGGCAAGCTCTCGTTCTCCGAGGCCACGAACAATTCAAATGGCGCAAGAACGATTTGCTATATACCCGTTCCCTTGTAGCTGAGCTCTCCTTGGCTAGCGGAGGAGAGTACGAGGTAATTTTGATGATCCAACTAAACGGCGAAGAACACGCGAATCTCACCACAGCCGACTTCCACAACGAAACTCTCCTCCACAGTCTTAGTGAACAATACGTTCCTGCAGAATTCCGTAATCTGGCGGTCTTCTTTAATACCAACGTCTTGAAAGATCTCTACCCGGAAGTCCAGCAATGGAATTACGTCATGCAAGCCTACCAGCCAGTACAATGGCTCGCGCTCTCCCGCCCCCAGTTTAGCCACTTCTGGACTGTCGAGCAGGATTTCCGGTACTTGGGGCACAACTACGAGTTTTTCAACTCCATAGGAGAATGGGCACGCAAACAACCCCGGGAGAATATCTGGGAACGAAGCTCCCAGTTCTACATTCCAGCCGTTCACAAGACATGGGACAACTTCGTGCAAGTTATCAAGCAAAACACGCCTTCGGGCCAGGGCGTGCTGGGTCCAAAGCCTCCGCCAAAGACATCCACATATTCCAGCTTCAAGCCAGCCACCCCGCTTCCCTCACCCATCCCGAAGGACTGGGGTGTCGGCGAAGACGCAGATGTTATATCCCTGTCGCCTATCTGGGACCCGAAGGGCAGCGGCTGGGTCTTCGAGAACTATAAGCACAACTTCCCCCCTGCCACACCCTTACGAGTCAGCCCACCCAGTTGCGGCAGGTTTTCTCGACGCGTCCTACTGCTTACACACGAGGAGCAGGTTGCGCATGGCACGTGGGTAGCAGGCGAGGCGACGAACCCAACGACGGCCTTGCACCATGGACTGAAAGCAGTCTACGCACCTCATCCGCTGTACTTTGATGAAGATATCGACCATAAGGCGTTATACACCGTGTTCAATGGGGCTGAAGCCGGGAAAGCGTTTGATACCTCCAGAGCACATGAGGGCTTGTTGTTGAGGCCTGAGTGGAAGGATAGGTGGTTGAGATTCACGTTTTCGTGGAGTAATCAATTGGCGGAAGAGTTGTACAGGTGGTTTATTTTACAAGAAAAAACGAGCACCGACGAGATTGATGGGAAGAAGCACGCTCCGCGGAGCGAGCACCCAAGTGGTGAGACACCGCATGACAACGAGCCTTGCTTTCCGTCTATGGCATTGCACCCAGTAAAGAACATTTGATCTCCTAGATATAAACTGTATTGTTTTAGGGTTTGGTAGAGGTTTCGGGGCAGGAGTTGGTTGGGTTCTGTGCATACATGCTTCATATTCTTTGATACCCCCTAAACTTTAGAAGCAAATAAATTTTCAAATTGATTAGTGCCTCCAATGAGGTTTGAACTCGGACGAAAAAAAAACATACAGCCCTCTTTGCATATAGCTATACAAGTTACTAACCGTCTCTTGTCCCCCTCAAGCAACACTTCACCATTTGTCACCGCACCGAGCTGAGCTCCGCGGCGCCAATAATGTGTACGGCCATACCAGGGAGCACGCAAGTGAGTTGCGCGGTGGCTTGTCAACCTTGTTGGCTTTCCATGGGGACCTGATACATGATCGCAGATTTGCAAAACTTCTTCAGAAGGGGCAGTGCGGCCGTATGCGCTGGGATTTCAACCCCCTTGTAAACACTTTCTGTGGTACTCGGCGTAAACCAACATTCTCAATAATAGCCAACCATGTGGTTGGTTGAGTGGCTGGTATTGAACCCTGTCTTGGCCAATATACATCACCGGATTCATGGACCGTCGGTGGGTCATTCATAAGTTACCTGGGTAGGGTTTCAGAGAGAAACCAAAGACCAACATTCATGGGCGTCTTACTTGCTGGTAGAAATAGAACTCTCAAAGCCGGTTGGCAGTAATTATGAAGTGTACTTAACTCGACATTTCCTCCCCTAGGAATCATTTTCTACCATCAGCCTTTCAAAACAACCACCATCATCTTCGAATTCTCAAAGTACACTGACCCGTTTTCAACTATTGTAAAAACACAACATCATTGAATCTCCCCCAAACTTTATAGAATCACCCCATCATCATCTGCAATAACAACGACATCGCCGAAGCTGCAGCATAGTGTGCTATTGGCGGCCATGCTGCTGGTAGGGCCTCTTGCGCATTAACAGGCTGTGACTATTTGTGCGCGGCGGGCTCACGCTACTGCCCGCATCGTTAGACCTTTTTTAATTCAGATCCTCGTTTTAGAATAGACGTATACCAAAGTCTATCGACCAAGGTTAATTCTATACTCACCTGTCCCCGACTTACACCGGCACTTTCAATTCGTTGTATTGTCCGCGGTTCGATTGGAGGTATTTGAGCCAGAGCTGTCAGATGAGAGGCTAGATTCAGATTGGATGTAACGGAGGTACACAACTTTCGAATTTGCGGAGATGAAATGCGGAGGTCACAACCGAAATAGAGTCTGAGCAGGGCGAGGACGAGGCGAAAGTATGCGGCTTTGGAAGTGCAACGAGCTCGCAGAATGCTGAGGGTTCCAGAGAAGCACTCGACTCCGCCTCTGCGACTCCCACCGGTCATAAGTCTAGCCGTAAGCTCTTTAAAGCCTATTTCCATCATTTGCATCACGGTGTCGAGGAACCCCCGGCTGCCATCACGGATTCCACGCTCATTTGCCAATCGACTGTGATGGGTGGATAAACCAAGATAAGCCGCAGTTGGATAGATGTTTCCTGCTTCCAATTTTTGAGCCCATCCCACAACCTAGGAATGCCGTAAGACCCGACAAAAGATATCCACTACCGCGAGACAAACCGTAGGGTCTGGTTTTATCAAGGCAATATGGTGGATCTTATACTCGCTTGGGAGCGTACAGAAGCGCAGACCGATCCCTTGGGCGTGAGGCAATAGAAAATGGTATGCAGCAGCAAATCGTCAGTATTGTGTGATGAAGGGAAGTCTCATTAAATAATGACCATTATATCAAAAATTTAATTGACAGTTATACATAAGAATATTAAAAATCGAAAGACGGTTGCACTTTGTTCTTTTCGTGGTTCTTCAAGTTCATTGACAGACGCACTGTGGCTCACAAGGACTTCTCTAGAATTATATCCAAAGTCCACGAGACGGGAGTCTCAGCCGAGGGGGCACTAGGGCATTGTCATCGCACTACCCTAAGATTGGTCGCATTCTCCTCTCTCTGGTGTTATGGTCTGTGGCCCCTTTTCCTTACCCCTATTTTACCTCGCTTAGCGATCGCCAGTTACCCCTATCTTCAACACCAGCACAGCAGACCAGTACCTAGGAAATCCTTATATAAAGGCACCACCTACGATGAAGTCGTTTTTACAGGCGATGCATTTGCTGACGAACACGTTTGGGTATGTTATTGGGGAGGAACTCGCCCCGCTTCTTGGCGATTGTGGATTGAGGTGGCTGTTTGTTGGGTTTCGGATGCTATGAGGAAAATACAGCTGGGAGTCTGTGCCCGGAAACTAAGGGCGATGTGCTCCAGTTGACTAGGAAACATCAGAGAAGTAGGAGATAGAAACGCATCGAGAGTTATTGGCTCTAATCTGCTGGCATTAGGGTCCATGAACTTTTTCATTGATAGTTGCTCAGACGATATTATGCTTCCAGGAAATTCTTTCCTGATCTCTATTCGTCTGAACTCTGCATGTGGAAACCACATGTACAGAATTGTTCTCTTATCTCTTCTTCTCAACTCTTTCTTGCCTATTCAAGTGAGAAGCTGTGAAATTTCAACCACGTGGATCGGTGATCGCAATCACCTCTTGCTTCCAACCGACGATAAATACCCCCCCTTTTCTTCGCTTCCCTTCGATCTCTCTCCTTTCAACATCAACAACCTCCCAACCTCTCAATTCCCTAATACTTCTCCTGCACCCAAATACAACCTTCAAGCACACCTTCAATTCCCCTCACCCAAATCTCACCCCTTCCTTCATCTTCACTTCACTTCTGTTACTCTTCTCTTGAAGCTAATGATATGAACACATAAGACACTCGAGCACAGGGAGAAGGGAATGTGCAATGCAGTTCCATGCATTCACTATGAAAGAAAGACCGTGTCTGGGTATAAGCTAAGCTAATCTCAATCTCGGCAATAGCAAGAACCGTCCCTCATTTCCTCCCTTTCCGTAAAAGGAAATTCCCCTGCAATCATCAATAAGGCCATAAGCGTAACTTGTTCAGTCCCCGGGCGCTGCAAGTCCTCGAAAAATCCACGAGAACCCAGCAAGCTGAAGCCCTTGAAAATCTCAGACGACCTCCTGATGCTGACCATTCTTCAAATCAACCCCAGAGCTAATGCCCTTATCATGCTCCCCATCACTCTCAGTCCAGGCCTCATCCTCAAACTTATACAGCTCGGGGCAGACTGCATCCTTACGGAAGAGCACCCAGCGCTTGAACCACCACGGCAGCACCTGCGTCAGCTGATATTTCGCATGCGTACGCGTCGGGACACCAAAGACGTAATCCAACTCCTCAAGAGTGCGTTGCTTAGTCTCGTACAAGAAGAGGAAGATCATCCAGAAGGCGATGAAGTTCATTGCTGCATAGAAGCCGAAGGCGCCTTGGACGCCAAAGGCTTTGAGTTGTCGTGGGAAGGTGATAGAGACGACTGTTGCCCAGAAGTTGTTGGTTGCTACGGCCCAAGACATGCCGACCTCACGATGGGAGAGCGGAAAGACTTCTGCGGAGTAGGTGAACGGCACCGGTCCTTCGCCGGGAGAGTAGAAGGCGTCGTAGATGTAGATGAAGAAGGTCACGAGGCCGAGATGTGCACGGCTGCTTTGTGGGATCCAGTAGCACATGCCGGCGAGGAGAAGGCTCCAGCACATGTTTGGGAACGTGAACAACAGTAGGGCTCGACGTCCGAACGTATCGATGGTCCAGAGGGCAGGGAAAGCGAAGACAAAGTTGACGAGTCCAAAGCCGAAGGAAGCTAGAAGAGCAACGACATTGTCTGCTCCAGACTGGACGAAGATCGTGGAGGAATAGAAGGCGATGATGTTGACTATGAATGTTAGATATGTCGAAAAACAGGAGATCAGTAACTTACTTCCGCACATCTGCTGGGCAATCATGACTACACCAGATGCTTGAGTAGCACGACGAAGGCGAGGAATCGAGAACAACTCGATGAACCGAGTGAAGAAATTACCCGTCTTCGCGAGCCCGCTCTGTTCCAAGAGGAGATCCTCATAGACAAGTTGAGCGTGGATGAAGTACAAGTCTCGAGCAGCCTGGAGTGGAGTATTTCGAAGTCGGAGAAGTGATCTGTATGCCTTGGCCACCTTTCCTTTCTTCAGAAGCCAGCGAGGAGATTCCGGGCAGAACCAGATACCGAGGAGGAGCGGAACCGCTGGGACGAAAGGAGCGCCGTATTGGAGTCGCCAAGCAATCTTGCCCGTATGAACGAACACCAGATTAGCACAGGTTCCAATCAAGATTCCAAACGCTGTCCACATCTGCCATGACATGACGAGAGCTCCTCGAATATTGGTCGGAGCAGATTCTGCAGAATAGACGGGAACAGTGACTTCCTAAACCCCAGAATCTCGTATTAGTATTGTCTTAGAAGGAAATGATTAGGAGTTGAGGCACTGTTTCATGAGTAGTCTACTCCTGGGGCTAGATATGGAGTAGATTCCTCGCAGGATATGTGAAGTAGGAAATAATACCCCGAGAAACTGAGACTTACCTTCAAACCCATACCTATACCAAGCAAAACACGTGCCGCGACGAGTTGGCCCCATTTTTGCGAGAGTGCCATACCAAAGGGAGCAAGTAAGCTGAAGATCGCGGCGAGGAAGATGGTGCCTCTACGAGCGAGGATGTTGTTGAGGGGGTCAGAGATCCAAGCGGCGCTGTTTGAGTCAGCATTGAAAGACAGGTTTGCGAAGTTCCCTTACAAGACACAGATGGCGATATACGGAGTAGAGTTGATAAATCCAATGATCCAGGAGTTCTTGTTGCAGATGGCAGCGGTCGGGCAGATTGAAGAATCGTCGGAGATTCCCAGAGCTTCGGCGAAGGTAAGATTGGCTCCATTGGAAGCTGCGCACATCAGCATTGTCACCAAAATCAGCGGAGTCACGTACCAGTTTGATCCCATCCTTGGATTGCAGCTGCAACGGAGTTCAAGATGATGGTCACGTAGAGGATTCGCGGATGCTTCCACTTGTGCGTGACCTCCTCGTGCAGAATGCGTCGATCCTCGTCGTTGAGCTCGTGGATCTGATCGATGTGATGCGGGCTCTGTGCTACCAACGCGCCTTTGATGAGGTTCTCGGCGATGTCAGTCAGGTCGTTGTCGGAGGCGAACTGTTCGACGTCCTGGATCAATTGGGCCTTGGAGATTCCGGCGAGAGGGTTCTTGATTCTGTGAAGGTCAGCCAAATCGCAGATCGATGGGGCAGGCGACTGACTCTCCAGTCACGTTCTGAGTCATCTCTGCGACGCTGGCTTTGCGGCGGCTCTCGTCGAGGAAGACGGAGCCCTTGCGCGCCTTCTCGTCGTGAGGTGTCTTCATTGCTTCCTTCAATGATTCGTGGGCGGTGGGCTGTGCCTGCGGCCTGCAATTGATCGTCAGCAGCAATCGCCATTGAGAAGAGGATATACACACGCAGCGCCCGTGATCTCTGGTGCGTCGGCGTCCGCCATGGTTGAGGGTTTTGGTGTTGCGTGGTCGATGATGTTTCGCGAGATGGAAGACGCGAGATGGGGAGGGAGTGGAGGAAGTCAATGGAGTCACAATCGCTTAGGACCACAGGACTCACTCCACCACTTCAGCGCGTTGCCCTTGTTTATATGGGAAAATCGAGCACAGGCAAGGAAAGAGCTACCCATGCCCACGGGGGAGCATCTCCCACCAGCCATTCCTCCGCGGCCGTCCTGAAAAGTTATGTGAGCGGCCCGAACAGGGAAAGATCTCTGCGTCTCTGTCAGGGTTGTCTGACTTCAAGGTTGGGTCGGACAGGCCGACCATGGGATTGCTGCCAACTGCTGGCCATGCAGCCATGCAGCCATTCAGAATTGGCCGAACAAGGACCAGCAACCGCCATCCGCAACACAACGCTTGATGACCCTCGACTCCTCCACTTCTCGAGCAACATGGCCGCGAGCTACCCCGCAGTCTGAAGCGCCTGAAGCTTGAAAGCGATGGATAAGCAACGCACTAGCCTCACTAGCCTGAGCAGTATGCGAACACCCCCCTGCGACGCTCACCGTCAGTGGCGCCCGCCCATTGGCGGCGGCGGTCTGGGGTGGGGCGGAAGGGGTGGAGCGGAAGGGGGAGGGGGGGGCAGCCGCCCAATTACCCGGCGGTATTGCGCGCCACGGCTTACGCCATCGCGGTGTTCCGACAACGTGACTCGGCCAAAAAGTTCCTCTCCGATTCGGAGACCCAGTGCCGTCCCGCGGCCAGTGCCCACTGCCATGCAAAAGAAGCCCCGAAGTGCACGCTTGCAGGGGACATTTTTTGCTGCCTTGCGCCGTGGCTTGAAGCCGTCTCGAGATGCGGGTGCCCGCATCTTGCGCCCGTCCGGGGTCCTTGAGGCTTAAACTAACGCTGTGCAGTAGCGCAGGGTACATTTGTTGCTGCCTGGAAGACTGAGGGGAAGATGTGGAAGAGACCACAAATAACAGACAAATTGAAGCTGGAGATTGTGCGGGGTGCAATCGTGGCGGCACGAGATCTCGCAAATTGAGAGTTGTGATAGGAGGGGTGAGATCCGACGCTTACCTGCGCGTGGAGGTGCCCGTTTTTGGCCACCCCTAAACTTTGCTACAGGCCGGGGGGTTGGCGGTGGAGCCGTGGAGGATGTTGGGAGAACAGCGATGAGTTGACTACTGTAGGTAAAGTGCAGACTTTGTGGTGTGCTTCCATCATGCCGTCTCCGTTTCCGGACAACGTATCCCGACGAAGTTGCTGAGAAAGTGGAGACTAGGGAAATTTGCAGCTATTCCCAAGCCGCCACCACATCAACTAAAAATTTAAAATAGCTCTTGTGACATTTCACGCGGGATTTACTGGAAGACTTTGCATCACTCGACTTCGAGTGGAGCATTTGAGCGAGTGATGTTCCACCGCCGTCTGTTCAGGATCGATTTTGTGGCTGTTTTTCCCCAACTCATTTGTCTTCCTTCTCCGAGTCTTAGAAGACATTTTCTTGCTGCCTGATTCCTACAAGCTCTTCCCAAGTAAGAAAGGCTCCATCAAGCCGACCATCCGACGGAGGATAAAGTTTTATTGCACAATATCCGGTGAGAAGGAATATGTTGCGTTGTTTATCGCCGAATGACAATTGTTGGTGGCTTCTGTCGATATGCCGTTGGAAAAATATTTGTTGCTGCAAACGAGAGCTATATCGAGATATCAGCCCTTAATCTCGGAGGATTGGATCGACATCGCCAAGCGTAAGATCGCGGCCGAACCCAGTTGCCGCCTGGGTACAATCCGCCCTATCATTGAAACGTCCTTTATTATCCTAAAGGCATGACCGCTTTAACGTCGTGTCTCATCTTGATTCCTCGACTTGAGGAACAAGAATAAGATTGAGGATTGTAGCAGGCCGAAGAGACTACCAGCTTTGTCAGACAGCTGTCAGCCGGCCGCCATTGCCATCGGTACCTTCTCTTCAATGGCTAGAAAGCAATACCATCGACCATCCAATTTGAAGCCTATGACGAAATTAGCATACTGTGCATCAAAATTATCTAGAGAGATAGAATCAACAAACTTTCTAGCCAGGGAGTCCTCTGCTGCTGTGATGAAACTGAAAAGCCTTCATCCTTCCGATGATTCCGATGACCCTCTCACTCTTCAAAACTACTTGGGCGTCTCAACTGACATGTACATCGTTCAATCAATGATCCCAAAACAGTCACACAGAACATGAACACCTACCTGTAAGAAGATGAGGATGTGAAACCTGCTGCGGCGAGGCTATGATGTACCTCAATATAAGGCCGCATCACGTGCAGGAATGCGGTTCTGCCTGGAGCGACGCGTGTCTGACTCGGGGTTGTTTTCGTCCGATTACTCCTCTCAACCTCGCCACGTTCTTCACTTCTCAGCCTCTTTCGATGAATTGACAAATGAGATCTCGTCGTTGAGAAGGGGAGGGACAAGATTTATGCATAAACTGTTCCTGGTTCCTGCGTCGTTCTGGGATATTTTATTGCGCGCAGTGACGGCGGGATGAACAGTTCGCCGCCGTGCTCAGAGTTGCGCATCTTTCTTTTGACGAGTCTCGCTAACAGTGGGGCAATTGTCTGCCTACATCAAGGGTCAACCTCTTCAACGACCGTCGAGTAGATTTGAGGCAGCTCTCACTCTTCAACGGTAGACGGGCGAAGTTGACCCGCCGGCCGAGTGGACCGAGAACTCATGGTGTTCCACGACTACCAGACATTCCCCTCTGGCACATTGACCGTCCTTCCACCACATTACCCCTTATGATTGGCTGATTTCTTTGCTTGAGCAGACGCAGCCGATTCATACGCCTCAAGCCTTCCAAAATGCTGCAATCCTCAACGAAGCATGCTCTGCAGCGAGCATGGCGAATCCTTCGATGATCCGTCACTCCACCACGACCTCGAGTCTGGATCCCTTCTCTCTTTGCTCGGCATTCGTGAAGAAGACCGGAACCTCGGAGCTCGATGTCGAGACCCAGCTCTCTTACGCCTAGTGAAGAAAGGCTCCCTACCGAAGTTCAGTTAATGGTCTGGAGCCACGCCGTCCCTGATCCACGAGGCGTAGGAAATGCGATCCTCGCGATCGTAAACGACGATCTTAGCAGTCCGAGACGTAGGTCGAGTCCATTTCCCGTCCCGGCAATCTCAGTGTCCCACTTCCCCTATCGCAATGCCAATCCGATAGTTGTTAACCCCCCCCCCCCCCCCCCCCCCCCCCCCCCCCCCCCCCCCCCCCCCCCCCCCAGCCATTCTACCCTCACCTCGAACCATACGATAGTTCCGGGAGTCAAGACGTCGCGCGGGTCGGCCTGATGAAAAGGCGGCCTGGGCTCAATGGTCTAAAGCTCGAAGAGTTGTCCTTGATCTTCTGCAATCTGCATGCGTGTCACGAAGCCAGACTCGCGGTGCTGAACACCTTCTGCCTCGACATAGAAGGGATATCCTCCCCATAGAGCACTCGACTGTGGAACCCGGAAATAGACAATCTCCACCTTTCCACCACTCGCCTAGGCCCCACCTACCTCCGAGGCCTCCTCCTCACCTGGCTCTCCGCCTCCCACTCTTCCCCCTTCCCCGTCTTTCTCCCCGCGAAGCATTGCACTCCCACTCGATATCTACTTCCAAAGCCAGGTCAAGATCCGCGAGCGCGAGCGCGTATTCGGTACCGTGCTACCACGGCGTTGTGCTGGTCTGCTTCTGAATCTCGCCGCGCTAGAAACCCTTGGCTTGTGACTCGATGAGCGAAACTATATCCACAAGGGAGACGGCCGCATCTTCCCTCTGAAGCAGATGGCTTCCCGCTTTGTAGTTTCCAGGGGAGATTTCGCGCTCCTGAGCTCAAACCTCGAGTTTTGAAGCGGTTTCAAATTCCGTTAGAAATCGGTGGTCAAGTTCCTGAGGTTGAGGTTAAGCTTGTGGGGTGGAAGAGAGGGAGATGAAGGTGGAGTGATTGAAGACTTAGATGCAAAATTCCCCCACGACCGCATTTCCTCGATAGAATACGGCCCGGCAGATGAAGGAAAATACAGGACTCGAGCAGGTGCGGCGCAGTGCTATGGTGATTGAGATGAAACGGAACACTCAATCTTGCCTTGCTCTGGTTATAAATACAAATATCCTGCTCTACCCTACAATCTTCAGCCCAGTTCGCTCACATATTTACAACCATTCGATTTTGACTCCAAACTCCGAAGCCATTCGTCCAGAAGTTACATCACTCGCCTGAAAATGTACGCCTCAACCGTTTTCACCATCCTCCCCCTCATTCTTATCCTCTCTCTCGCCATCCCCAGCCCCGCAACACCCCTCGCCCCACACTAAAGAGACAAATAATCCCAAACTCCAACTGTCCAAACGGCCCTTACTTCTGCGGAAGCTTTAATGGATTTCCTGCCGTGGTAAGCACATGACTAAGGTGAAAGTTCCGTAGTGAAGATACAAGTTTTGAAAGAAGAAAGGGGCGTTGACAGAGAAGTAGTTATGTCAGAGCTATAGCTCGTTAATCTATAAGTGCGTGCAGACGCATGGGGCGCAGACTTGTCAGTTGGGGGATTGCATCATGTACGAAGATTGCGGCATAAAGTGACGGGATTACAGGGCATTTAGTGGGTGAGTGTGGTAGAAAGTGGCCTGAAAGGGGACTTGCGGTACGAATGCCCTGTAATCCCGTCACTTTATGCCGCAATCTTCGTATGGTGTGTGAAACTGTGGAGTTGCGAAGGAAGGAGAGGGAGGATACGGTAAGAAGAAGATGGGGAGGGAGAATAGTGTGGATTTAAAATACTGTGTGATTTCGATTTAGGAGAAGAATCGAAAGCTTGACTGACCTAAAGCAGCACTTTAATTACTTTGGTATTGGGGTTTGAATAGTGCTGCTTCGCCATTTCTATGTGACATGAGACGGGAAAGGTAGCAAGGGGGGGGTGTAAAATTATGGCAAGTGCAAGAGCGAGATTGAGCGAACGGAACACGTGGAGTAATATTGATTCCTTATTGTAATTCGGCAGCTTAATTACTTATCGTTGTGAAGTGAGACATCCGTTCTATCAACTATAAAGAGACTGCAGAAAAATGAGAGAAGGCTTGGCAAAATGAGACGATTAGAAGGCAGTGAAGGCATATTCAAGAAAATTTGAAGACGGGATGAGTTGAAGTGCAGTCAAAGGTTTGAGAAAATTTAGGAGAAAGTCACGGTATTTTGTGATGTATGCGCTTGAGAGGTCTTGCAAAAGGGACGATTGGATCGCAGCACCAACAGGTGGAAGGAAACCAGAAAGCAGGTAAGCAAGATCGCAGTTATAGATGCATTGGATTCGGTACTGGAGTCAATGTATTGTAATGTCATGGACGAAACAATCTTTTTTTTAACAACATTATCGACTCCATGATCCACTCAAGATGCTCCCATCGGCGTGCTAATGGCCCTGGCACAAATATGCACTCGCCAATCAAATGGATATCACGGCAACTCTTTCCGTGGAAGTCATATGTGGCTTCCGGACTAAGTGTATCACGAAAGACGAGTGGAATACTGGATCCCCTGAGAAAATACACGAGATCACCTATTTGCTAGGACGCTGGTACTACTGCCCATCTTTGGTCCGTTCTCGTTAACCTCCTCCCGTCAAGAAAACCTCCACCAGTCTCAGGAAGAAGTTCTAACTCATAGGCTATAAATCCGACGAAAGTTGTTTTTTCCTTGGGCGTGAAGTCGTCGTAGCTGGGCCTGCGGCGGCCGCATGTGCGAAAATCGAACCCAGACTCACTCGACAGCCACTCGACGACATCTGAGGATAGTTCGTAGGAGGTAGTGTCAAGCACCTTGCCCAGCTCCGTTATCTCATCCGTTAGACGGCCCCTTGAAGTAAAGGTACCGTTCTGAAAGTCCATGGCATCGCAGCTGAAGAAGTCTCTTATTTTCGAGCTTTGATCCACTTTCTCATCATAATATTTGAAAGGGCATTTGACTGGTTGGCGACGAGGTCTTTCTAGCCGAAATGACAATCTGGAACCTAGCTCGGCAGCCCCTTCTGCCGTTGTTGAGGATCAATATCTTCGATACGACGGAAAATATCATATGAGTTTGTCTCCGAGATGTGTCTCTCGGCAACTATTTGGAAGATCTTCTGATGGTTGATTCAGTAGTCGACTCTGAGTTCGAGGTCGTGAGCTAGCCCGACATGTGCGAAAACCCTATCACGAGGATCGGATCCTTGGAATCCACGACGAGCTTCAAGGATAGAGAGAAGCTTATCAAAGCCGTGCTCCTTTTGCTTGTCTTTGATCCCAAAGCCTAAATCGACTTTGGAGTCTGGACCTCTCAAAGTTCCATTTGGCATTGTTCATTTGGCTGACGACTTCGAACGCGCGTTTCAGGTATGATACAGAAGGTCCTGGCAAGTGGCCAATACTTTCTTGAGCCATGTCATGAAGAAATAAGGTCTTAAGGAAGGAAATGATTCTCCATGGGAATCGTATTTGGCCGAATTGCACTTTCGGATCATGCGACATGACCAACTCCTGCAGTATCCAGATTCTGTAGAACCATGGATGACCCAGAATCTGCCTGAGAACATTGATTCCTTCATCCGGTTTAGGGTATAACACTCTCTTCTGGTAGCAAGACAACATCTTGGTCAAAACAGCTTCAGATGCCTCGTCACGCTCTCCGAGGAAGATAACTGTGTGGTGAGCAATTTCATGTACTCGTCCCATCTGCTGGATCTGCTTTCCTTTCTCTTCATCATCGTGCTGATTAATACACACTCCGTCCTCCCAAACACGCAAGACCCTCCTCCCGTCTCTGAGGTATCGGAGCGCACATTCTAAGTTCTTTGTCACCTGGAGTTGATGCTGTCTATCGACTGAGATGAAATTCGTGTCATTTGCGTCGCCCCACACGTAGGAAAGGGCGGTATAATGTTCGTAAATCTCCTCTTGTGCGTGGTGGAGAGTTGTGTGGATGATTGAGCACTGTACTGGTGCAGAGGTGCTGGTCGGAGGACGATTAGCCGGATGCCATTGGCTTCCGTGATCGGGAGGTACTGATATGGCGTTCTAGCGGCCATGGCCATGATCGACAAGATGGTGCGTGGTATGGAAGAAGTAGATGGGTTGGGATATAGAAGAGAAGAGAAGAGAAGTGAGACTGCAGGAAAGGAGTCGCCTGGAACCCCTGCTGAATCGAACTAATGGGAAGAGATCTTGAAGATTGCTTCGCAGCTACCCAATGTTTGCAAACTTTCGGGAGCTCATTGCTATAGTAAAGAAAGTTTTGAGTCTTATTTCAAGACAAAAATAGATCTAAATGAAAGCTATTCCATAATGCTTTTAACATGTACTTGAAGAGGGATGCATGTGAAGGGAGACGGAACTCTTCGCGAGGGACCACCGTTAAACGATACTTGAGCACCAGGAAAATGGTGCACAACATCGCAACATATAAAACAAAAAGGGCTAGTGGTATGGGCATATTATTCGCAATCTTTGCATATTCATCCTAGCGTAAGGGACATTTAAAAGTAAACGCCATTAAATGTGATTGATATCGATTTGTGGTTGATATCACATACCTTGTCATGTGATTGTTGTCGTGACGCGAATCATCCACGTCAAACGCGACCACACTCCCTTTGCTTGCCACCAACAACTATCGCAGCCCACCAGGCTGCCTTAGCCATCCAGCCGCTCTAGGTGCCGTAGGTAGTTGGCCTGCAATTTCGCGCGCGCAGCGAGCAATCTATCTTGCCTGCGCAGCGTCACCCCCGAATCCTCACTCTTGCTAGCGCAGCGAGCATCACCCTCGTCTCTTTCATGGGTTCAAACAGGCAATTTGACATAATGGCGGATATGCCGAAAGCGCTACTATCCACTCCGACTTTCAATCTACCCGAGGACCTTCTTGAATGTCTCTACCATCTGGAGCCAGCCGATTCCAGCAAAGCGTTCGCGCTTTTCGACACGCAGAAAAACCCTCCAAATCCTGGGCTTTGTCTCAAAAATGGCGGACTAATTGGCCTCCCCCTTTCAGATGGAGACGCCGAAGTTTTCAGAACAGCTAGCCATCCGTTACCCCTCAACAAAGACCCCGAAGCATTCGTGGGCCAGACAACATGGGTGCTACCAGCTGGCGGGTTTGAGATTCAGAACCCCGCATGGGAACCGTTCCTCCGGGATCTAGTAACAAAAGTATCTGCTGGGCTAGGAGTGGATTCGACTGGAAAAGGAGTTTCAGCAGAGTTGCTCAACCTCTCACTTTATAACGAGGGTCCTTTATCCATGCCCGGCCGAGAGTAAGCAATGACTTGGAACCCTTGCGGGGCTTGCGCTCATGATCCTACAGATGCGGCAAGCGGCCTTCGAATCCTCGAATGTTTGGCACACTTGCCATTACTCTGCCCTCCAGGTATGAGGGGGGTGACGTCTGTATTTCTCGTGGAGGCAGACAAGTGTTCGCAACATCGCAGTCTTCTGCGTTTGATATATTATACATTGCGTGGTATTTCTCTCCTGGACGATTTTTTGAACCCTGACTCACGATCTCCTGTTTAGGTTCCACGATGTCACCCGCGAAGTCAGACCTGTTTTAGCAGGGCGACGTCTAGTCCTCACGTACAATCTTGTCCATTCCACATTGGGTCCTGATGTATTAGCGGCAGGTTCAAATAAGTCGGTGGCGAAGCTCGACTTGCTGTTTTCTTACTGGAAAGAAAATGTCGAGGAAGAGACTTCTTTACTTGCTTACCTACTCAACGACGAGTTGGATGACGACAAACTTTCATACAACGGACTCGAAGGACAAGACCTGCGAACTGTTACGCATCTGCGCCAGGCTAGTGAGAAATACGACTTCTGTATATACCTTGCGAGCCTGAAAAGGTCAATTCAGCTCAACGACGAAGATGACGATGACAGATTCCACGAGAGGGAAATAGACCAATCTGGAGCCAAATCGACGCTCGAGCGGGTCGTTGAGCTGGACGGGACCGAGCTTGCGAAAGGCATGTACTTTGAAGACGAGATTCTTATCCAAGAAGAGCCATTCGAAGGTGTCGAGCCTGACGACGAGGAATCCTCCGACACTACTGGTAGCAGTGTCGTGTACCAACGGACAGTACGAGTATAATCTCCATTCTTTGGTTCTCTAGACTAACACTGGGCATCAGGTGGTGCTCATCATGCCCAAGACATATCGAATCAGTTGGTTCTTCACTCCGAGCTTTCCACGTGCCGTAGGGAACTCTTGGAACTGGACGACGGAAAAAGGTACAACATATACACCGGATGTCACCGGGTGGGTCGATCGCCTTTCTGGGAGCTACTTGAATCAGTCAGGTGACTCTGATGATCGAAAAGATTTGGTGGAGATATGCACGCTGGTGTTGGATTCTATCCGAGGATGGAAGAGAAAAGAAGCTCATGGTGTTCCGGAGAAACAAAATCCGCCACCTTTCAGCAGCGCAGATATTGCTCGAGTTGTTGCAGCATGTGTGGATCTCGACAACAAGGATCTGTTCCTGGAAGCTTTTGAATTGTGTCCTTACAAAGTACCCGCCTCGACGTTCAAGTTAGTTGGAGCTGCTTTATTGAGGTACCAACTGCAATCATTACTGCCAAAGTAAGTTCCTTGCCCAACGAGCTCCAGTGTGGTGCCGCTGACATCTGCAAAGACTATCACTCCATATATCAGTATTCAGCGAGCTTGCAGATAGGTTTGATATCATCAACGAGGTTCAACAAGGAGTTACAGAGGAATCAAGACGATCTGGTCATATTGATGTCACTTACCAAGAATGGGTTGTAGCGGAGGCGGATAAAGTAATATCTGACCCGACAGTGACAATAACATCAGCGAGTGATGGGACTATTCTTGCAAATTACTGCAAAACGTTGCCGCGGTCGGACATATTCCAAAAGTATGGAACAGCCTTGGACTTTCAATGACAGACCGCTGATGAGACACAGGGTCCTGCCCGCCGTGGAGAGAAATATCAGATTTACCCCCATGACTCTAGCATTCCAACTGGCCATCTTTACTGCTGGAACCGAGTCACCTCTCCTCCTAGAAACAGCTCGCACTGTGTTCGCTCACGTTATATCACAAATTTTGAATGGATTTAGCCTTCTTGCTCTAGGTGGCTCAGCCCTTCTGAGTCCACCTTCCTTAGGAGTTGCTGAGTATTCTCGCCCTATTCGTCCGCCACTTCTAGCCTTTGATGCCGATCGAAGCCGCGAGATTGCGCTCTTGCTCTGCGACTGTGACATGTTGCAGCTTTCCACCGAACTCAATTTCCTACTCTCGAGTTTAGCAGAAGAGGCAAGGACAATTACAGTTGACTGGTTCGAAATCACGTTCCTACCTTTCTTGAAAACTCTGGGTTCCATCATTCAAGAACTCAATTTGCCGACACAGCATTCGCCCTTTCAGAGCCTTTTTCAACAGGTATTGAGCACGTATGTCGAGCGATATGTGCGACCAGAGCCACAACCTTCGAAAGACTGGTCACGACCGATAGTACTCTGCGATTGTCAGGATTGCCCCTCACTCAACTTATTCTTGGCCAACCCGAAACAGCAAGTTGCCAACTTCAGGGTAGCTGGAAAACGGAGGGATCACATCTATTCAAAGGTTTCCGACACTGGGATCGACCAGCGTACAGACAGAACGAGCTCGGTCCCCTACACGCTTGTCCTTACCAAGAATACAAAATGCTTCGAGATAGCGCATAAGGCCTGGGAGGAACGTTGTATCGGTGCCGGGGATTACCTACAGATCATGGATTCGGAAGTTGGTCTCAAACCCTTCCTCGCTGATCTTTATACCCCTATTGTCTCCCTCTCAATGGTATCAAGCAGCGCTGCTCGCGATTACAGACAATTGTTGCCTCCACCTTTGGCTTCAGGAGGCAGTCATATGCAAGGACTGAATGTCCCACAACCGCTAGCTCTAGTTGCGAACAACATCCAAGGAGCAAGACAACTGCTGGCTTTGCCATCGATCTCGGCAGAATGGTGGAGGTCAATGGCTCAGTCAGGCTCGCACAGCACTACTGGAGGTCATCAGAAGCACCTGCAAGGTACTAAAAGGAAGGCTTCAGAGGTTCTAGAACATGATCCCAAGAGGCCAGCCTCTGAAGTTATTGTAATCGATGAGTGAGTTAATGGAGAAGAATTTTTTGGGTTTCTGTTCAGACTTCCATAATTTTGCGGGAGCTCAAAGAATATAATTACAAGCAATACTTGAGTATCAATTCACGTAGGATTAGACAAAAAGGTACTTTGAAGTTGAATCACAATCTCGCGTGAAGTCGTGTTCAGGGTTTCAGCACGCTACCGTGGGACTATCTCGCTTAACTCGCTTAACGTGGATTATCCCCTACCTCGCTTAACGTGGACAATAGCCGGGTGGTCATTACTATTAGAATAGTGCTCCCTCAAGTTTAGGTAGCGAACGACTAATCCCTCATACCACTTTAAAACGCCTAGTCTAGCATAACCTTCTTATCGCTTTACATTTACCACTAGTCTTACCTATATTCACCTCGTCTGAGACCAGCAAGAGGGGGAAGGCCCAAAGCTACTATATACAAGTAAGATTAGCGACGTCCTCATACAAACAGCTCGTAATGGAAGTGCCAGAGAAACCTACCACCCTCTCAACATTTACTTGTTTTCCAAGACTAGCTCCTGAGATTTGATTAAAGATCTGGTGCCTCGCAGTTCTCGAACCTCGAACCTTGGAGCTAGAATTTCTTGACAACGGATGGTGGTGCTCGTTTAACCGAATCCCCGCACCAAAACACGCGCTTAAGAAAAACACGTTTACGAATTAAAAGGTAACCACTTTATAAAATCCTTTTATCTTTAATATATAGAATTCCCTAAGTATATAAAGCCTACTAAAAATATTAAATTACTTAGATAATAAATATATCTTACGAAATTTTATTTTTAATAATTTGAATTAAAATATATTAATATTAATATAACTTTTATATTATATAATATTATAAAGCAAAAAAATTATATAATTATAACTTTATTACAATATTTATAATATATATATATAAATTTTTTATATAACTTGTTTTTTTAAAGAATTAATTATAAAACTAAAGATTTTAATTTTAAAATTTTAATTATAGTAAATAAAAATAAAATATAAAGTTATATGTTATATTTAATACATAAATTAAGATTTTAAGTATAAGAATTCATGATTATAAACGTTTTTATTAATTAATATTTATATTTAATTATAATTAAATTTTTTATAATAATTTTTAAAAGATTTATATAATATAAAAAGTAAAAGAAATCCTTAATTTTATTTTTGTATATTTCTCTAATATATAACTAATAATATTATAATATTCTCTATATTAAATCTTTAATAAAATTATAAAAATTATTTTATAAAAGTTATAATAAAAGTATTATATTAAATATTATTAATAAAAATAATTTACTTTTACTTTTATATATATAAATATCTTTGAAATATATATTTTAATAAATAAATATAATATTATTCTAAATTAAAAAGGATTTAAAATTATAGAATTTTATATATAAAATACTTTTAAGAAAACCGAAATTAAAATAGCTTTATTATATATATTATTTATAAATAAATTAAAGAAATGAGGTATAAGTTCTTTATTAAGTTATATTTTATAAGAAACTTAAAAATTATAATAATTTAATTTTCTTTAAACTTTTACTTAAATTTTATTAAGAAATTATACTTTTTATAAAAAATATTTTATGTATTATAAATATTATAAGTATTTTAAATACAAAATATATAGCTTTATAATAATTTATATATTAATTAAAAAGTTATATTAAAAGTTTACTCTTTTATATATAAAAATATAAATTTAATAATTATTGTAATTATTGTAACTTTAATATTATTACTATACTAGGTTATTATCCTATATAATTAAATTCTAAATTTTAAATTTTATAATAAACGGATTTGTAGTCATTTAGCTATTAAAGAAATAAAAAATCGCGAAAACGTGTTTTGGTGAGGGACTTCGGTTACACCATGCAGCGCTATCGACCCCGCTAGTCGGCACGCCTGCCGTAAATCTTAGCAAGAAGCTCTGAAGCCGTATCAACGACTGAGTTTCGGAGTGTAAATCAACTTCTCCGTCGATATTATCTATGTGCGGTTATTTCTGAATCATAATCGGACTAGTATCCAGTTCGAAAGGGAGTTTTTGGAACTACTAGAACTACAGAGCGACCCCGCATTCAAGAAACTCCAATTCCTCGCCTTGTGGTCGGATATATGGCACGAATTTATATTCACGAATAATCAATACATGGTACTGGAGCCTTCGCCCGAACTTGTGTAGCTGAGTTCGAAGGGAATAGAGATCCTTGTCTCACTTTTCTTTAACGGTGAGCGAGGGTAAAGTTTTTGGATGCTAGCAAACATCTTTAAGCTGGAAGAGTCAACTACATCCTAGTATATTTGATAGGCCCTTATGTAACCTCCTGGAGCCACTGCCAACCATATAGCCCTCCAGGCCCTATTTCACTGCCTTTGCCAATTTGATAACAGTTTCCGTAGCCTCATCCAGGCTCTCCTTCGGCAATCCAAGAAACTGATTGCTCGTGCCTCTGATCTTCTCATAGTTCCCAGAGTCGTCAGGATAGAACACTCTGGAGAACATCATTTTCGGAAATCCAGCCATATTTCCCCCTTGCATTTCGTTGAGACCTGTTTGATAACGCTCTCCGGAAGGCACTTTGGTGATTGTCCAGTCCGGTGCATTTGTTCCAGTGACACGCAGGACAGACCCAAGTATATCCTCCTGGCTGATCGTGAAAGACGAAACGTAGACGTTCCGGTTCCTGAAGTGCTCTAAGCAGTGCGTCCCATCTCCTTCTGGCTGGACTGGAAGGCTCAACAGAGCAGCGACAGCACGGCCAACCTGAGCGAAGGTGCTCATGCTGACTAAAGTTTCGCCATCATCAAAGAAAGACACAGACTGTTTCTCGAAGTCGAAGCCAAAGGCAAGAGGGTTAGCAAGGCACATTTCGTACCAGAAGCCAGTGTTAACAGCAATGTAAGAGCTTTTGCCCAATTTGGCAATTTCCTCAACAATCTCTCGCTTGGAGCGGAATACTGCGACGTCCCTGTTTAGGTCTTCGTTGGCAGTGTCTGGGCTCCATTCGTTTGGCAGAATCCATGGTACCCTGGCATCCCCCGCGGCCTTGATGAGTTTGGACTGAGTATCTGGCGTCACAAGTTGAGGTAGGGTGATAACTAGGACATCTTGGCCCTGAAAACCGTCGACGAGGGATTGATGATTGTTATAGTCAACCTTTGTGACGTTCACGCCTTCTGGAAGCGGGGTGGTGCTGTCCAGTCTGGTTATAGCGGTGATAATATGCTTGCCAGTTTGGAGCAGATATTCCGTGATGCCTCGGCCGCTATTACCTCCAGCCTATATGGTGCTGTTAGAAAATCGACGGAAATTAAGAACTCAAATTAAGAACTCAAATTAAGAACTCAAATTAAGAACTCAAAGAGTTTCGTTGGGAGACCTACGCCAACGATGGCAACATTTCTCAGTCGATTCCCAGAAACCATTTTTGGTAAAAGTCCAAGAAATTGAAATTGTGGAACGCAAGCTATGCTGCAAAGACACCGAGGGGGAATATCAGTAAATACGAAGGGAGGTAGGCGTGGGACAATCTTATATCTTTCCCGAGCGGAGACCGGACCCTTTGCATATCTATCTAATGTGGGCTCATTAATGGATGCCATTAGTTCCGGACGAATTGTTAGCCCGTATCTCCATCCATCCTATTTCCCTCGCTCGCATTTGCTTCTTCAGGTAATAACCTCATAACGACGGGAAACCCCGAGTCAAAGTCTCCCGGCATACGCCGATCTGAGCACTATCAAGTCTAGCTGCTGTTTCACGGAAGCCTCAGTCTATGCGAAAAAAGGGGCAGATATTTGGGTGGTGGCGTAAATGCCAAACAAAGTGTGAGGGCCTAGTCAAGGAGAGCTATTTGCAGCAGCTTGGCAAGAGCCAGAGTCCGTTTTGGTCCGGTTTGGTCCGAGTTGGTCCGGTTTGGTCCAGTTTGGTCCGTTTGCGGAGGGGCGAAAGGGCCGGGAATGGTTTTGGGCTAGAGCGCCCTAGATTAGAGGAGCAGAATTACTTAATTAGTCCATAGCTAAATCGCAACCACTAAACCTCTTATATTTGCGGAGTTAATCACGTATACCTCCGCCACGGTACATGTTCTTAGCTGTCGCAAGTCACTTTGGTGTAATCTACTTATCACCGTCACCATCATCACTACTGTAACGTTAATCCAAAGTAAAATGATCACGGCTGCTCGAACACTACACTGTAGTTGAGCTGAAGAGCAATAACGAGAGTCCGAAATCCAATATGGCCAGTGCCACCAGTGATAAATACAAGATCGTTCGCCATCTGAGCCGATATGAACAGAAACGAGGTAAATCTAGAAATACTGTACATCTAAAAAGAAAGTACTTTTGTTCGTGAAAGGTAAATACACGTGAAATTAGCCTCAGTGTTATTCGAGTCCCTTCGATAAATTAAGATTATTAAACAAATAATATACGTGCTCGGCGACGGAGCATTTCGACTCCGAGAATTGAAAGGCGGGTTACGACGTCTTGTAAGCCGTGACTTCTGGCACCTACAGGCTCCAAGAAGGGGTTTTTAGTAGTGCGGATGCGATTTCCATCTGGTAGACGTCGGACACGTTTATCTATCATCACCCGTCTATGAAATTGACCATTTTTAAATTCACTTACACCATCTCTCTACTGCGCATGATACTAGAAGCTTCATCTGCGCAATGGGCTCTTCCAAAGGTGTGAGTTTCAATCCAAGTCGGGATATTCCAGATCTGTCTGGAAAAGTAATCCTCGTGACTGGCGGCAACAGTGGTCTTGGAGAAGAGTCTATTCTGCAGCTCGCGAAACACAAGCCAGCCAAGATCTTCATGGGAGCTCGAAGTGAAGCGAAAGCCAACGAGGCGATCAACAAGATCAGGAAAATCATCCAGGACGCAAACATCGTCTTTCTCGAGATGGACCTAGCCTCGTTTGCATCTGTGAAGAAAGCAACCCAACAAGTCCTAGCCACGACTGACAGGCTTGATATCCTCATGAATAACGCTGGCATCATGGCCACTCCGGCAGCTGTCACCACAGATGGGTACGAGATCCAATTCGGTACAAACCACATGGGTCATGCCCTCCTAAACAAGTTATTACTACCACTTCTGGAGAAAACTGCTGCTGAGCCCAACAGTGACGTAAGGATTGTCACCCTGAGCTCTGTCGCCCATACCATGGCTCCAAAAGAAGGTGTGGTCTTTTCCGAAGTTACCTCACCTATGGAGTCTACCAGTAGCTGGACCCGTTATGGTCAATCTAAGCTCGCAAACATCTACTTCACCGCGCAAATGGCGAAACTATATCCGAAGATCAAGTCTGTCAGCGTTCATCCGGGTGTTGTGAGCACTAACCTCGCCGTTTCTGGCCCGTCACAGACGTATAAGTTGCTCAGACCTTTATTCTACTTCTTGAACCGATACTTGTTCACCTCTGTCGGGAAAGGAGCTCTTAATCAACTCTGGGCCGCTACCGGAAAGAGGGAGGACATCAAGCAAGGTGGCTTCTACTACCCCGTGGGAGTAGAATACAAGGCCAGTCTGCTTGTTACAGATACAGAGTTTGCGGGGCATCTCTGGGAATTCACTGAGAGGGAGCTCCAAGATCATGGTTACTGAGTTTGCATTGTTGTGCCAGCGGAGAATACGGTACACCAGAGCCAATGTGAGCCAATACTCCCCCTACTGAGACAGTCCGACTTTCTCTCTAATATGCACGGTTTAGGTAGTGAAAGCAGATGCAGCTATCAGTGGAATTGCGTTAAGACATCGAAGATGGGTTGAGGTTGACGAGGGACCGATATACTGTTGCAGGATATCTTATATTTCGGACAAGACCTTTGAAGTCTCAGATTACAAAAACGCTATGGCTCAGGATTATGGGATATATTAAAATAAATTTTCTTAGCAGACGTTTCCAAGATTCTCTCAAGTTCCACTTCGCCATCGCCGTCATTGTCATCACTCATCGTTTCTACTGACTTCTCCTTTTGCTGTTTCTCTTCCGGCTCTTCTACACCCTGGCCGGATGTGAAGAGTCATAGACCAACTCCCCCTGCTGTGGTAGATCGGCAGAGCCAGGGCGACGCATTGAATCTTTGAACTATCGCCACTACTTCGGCGGCTTGCTGTCTTCTACCATCCTCTCGTAGAGTGAGATATCCTTGATCAATGCCCTTGCCACCCTCCGTAGCAGTGAAAAGGCAAGGACATATCCGGATGGGAGGTCTCTAACCTTTTACAGCTGGGTATTGGCAGCCTCAATGACGGCCTTGTGATCCTGGACATATCCTTAGACTTCATGGCCCGTGGACCGCAATCGGACCAAAAGGGTATCGATGGATTTCTCGGATCCAACGGCGTCGATAATGATTGCAATTGTTGACAATGTGTAAGTGGTGACGATATGACGATATACTTCATCTCTCGACCTTTTGCCGCATATGTTTGCAGCAGGCGATGAGTCAACCGATTCAGAGCCGCATCGAGATCTGGTCCAATATTCCTCAATGTACTGGGGGACAGAGTATATATGATGCGTGATGGCGTGTCAGCTATTGCGCTGAGGTGGATGGTAATACTTGACATCGCAAAGCGATAAAACGACGTGAGGATACTGACATGAGTGCGGTCTCTGAAGAAGGATGAAATTTCTATCCGTGCTTAATGAGGCTAACCCAAGTTGAGGCTTCTTAGAGCCTGCAGGGTTTCTTACTTACAAAGGAGAACGTTTTTTCATGCCTTAGGTAACAAATTGAGCGGGTTAAAGAATTATTCGGCGTCGTGACATCCCTTGTTGACCTGACGCATGCGGGTTATACGGAAAGCCGTAAGTACAGAAAGCTATAAGGATCAAAAGACCAAGCAAGCATACGACTTACGACTTATGACTTATGACTCGGCACGGGCTCACCCCACCAAAAATCGCAAACGCCCATACACTATACACTGTGCCCCCTCTCTCTGTACCTCTATACTCTTAAAATATTTACTCTCTTTAATTCTGCTCTCTCTCTCTCTCTCTCTCTCTCTATAAGTATGGGTAAGAGAGGGGGGATATAGGAGAAAAGGGAAGGTGGGGGGGGGCAAGGCAAGGGATCCTTACTCAAAATATGTGTTGCATCCCACGAAAAAGTCAAGCACTAAATTTTTAGTACTTATAGCCTATATTTTAGCGATTGTAGCCCTAAAACTTAGTAATAAGAATTAAAGAAGGAGGAATATTTTAAGTAGTAATAGAGGCACAAGAAGAGGGGGCATGATATGTAAGCGATTTTTAATAAGGTAAAGCATGTATATATTAAGTTATAAGTTATAAGTTATATGCTTGCTTGATCTTTTAATACTTATAGCTTTTAATATATAAGAATTAATTATTCAAGCAAGCTTTTTCACTTGCGACTTATAACTTATAACTTGGTATATATATACTTTACCCTACTAAAAATCACTTATATATTATATCTCCTCTTCTTATATCTTTATTACTACTTAAAATATTACTCTCTCTTTAATTCTTATTTATATTTCAATTATTATTCTCTTCTAAGATATCTCTTTTAAAAGAAAAGATAGTATTTATTATTTTAATTTTATTAATTTTAGCTTATTTCTTTAAATCTTATATAAACGTAAATTGAAAATTGAAATTAAAACTTAAAACTTAAAAGTATAATATAAAAGATTTATTAAAAATTTGAATATTTTAAATTATATATAAAATATAATTATTAATAGTATTAAAATAGAATTAAAATCTTTATTATAATTTATATTTCTTAATTTAAATATAACTTTATAAAAAAGTAGTAAAAGATAAAGTTATATTAATTAAAGAAATAGAAATAAAATAAAAGCTTTATATTTTATATTAGTAATTAATAATTTTTTTTTCGAAAGAAAAGAATTTCTTTAATTCTTTTATTAGAAAAAGTTGTTTTTATAATTTATAATTAAAGAATGTCTATTTTTATTTTATACTAATTTGAGAGTTTTTATTATTTAAACCTAAATAAGAACTTCTCTTCAATTTACGACTAAGTGAAATCCATGTCTGTTCTACTTCTAATACAATTTCTATGCACTCTTGTCTCTTTTTCGTCCTGTTCTCTTGCAACCCCTATATAACAAGAACTCGACTTCCAGAAATCCCTCCCGAATTCCAAGGCCTAATATCAATGTGCCAAATCTTTGCAGCGAAGGGGAATTGCCCACCCATTAATGGCTTGATGATATTGTAAGATTACTTCGTACAAAGGAGCAGTTCAAACACAATCGTCAAGTTCTTGCATTGCGCCAAAATCTATATCTATAAGTTCAAGTAGATAGCCGTCCAGTGCCCTGCACTTCTCCAACTCCCAGCCTCCAGGTCTATAGTTTAGACTAAAAGGAAACCAGCTTGCTCTTCACACAAATCGTCTTCGACAACGTCTCAATGCTCCCACTACTCAACAGCTCCAAAACCTGCAAATTCGACTCAAACTCCCTATCAATGAAGTTCCTAACCTCAATCGCCACAAGCGAATCAAGAGCATAACTTGAGAGTGACCTCGTGACATCCATATCCTCCGCTTCTAGCATCAACACCGACGGCAGCTTGCTCAGCAGACCCCTCTGCACCACCAGCTCTGCATCTCCGAGTGAAGCAGCTGCTTTGAGTGCTGAATTAAACGATACAGTGGTTGCTTCACCCGCAGAGCTTTCTGTGGCTTCCATAGCCAGACGCAATTGTTTGAACTTCGCGTCATTGGCCCAAAACGGCTTCGTCGAGGTCGTGAGCCGCATGCCTGTAACTGTATGACTATTACAAGTCCCTGCCAGTCTGCCATTGATCGCAGCACCAAGTAGTGCCAACACCTCTGTCTCACAGATCGTGTCGGTGCCGAGGTTCTTCCAGACCTCGGCAGCCGCCTTGGGGTTCTCGGCCAAATATCCGGCATCGGAAACAGCTGTGAGGTCTAGAGAGGAGGCCGGAAGCCCGAGTCTTTGTCGGTATTGGACGAATGCGTTGAGAAAGGTGTTTGCGGCTGAGTAGGCGGCTTGCCCTCTGTTTCCTACCGCACCGGCCGCGGAGGAGAGACATATAAAGAAATCGAGATTTTTGAGCGCGTTGTGGAAGTTCCAGGCCCCCCGAACTTTGGCCTCGATTACGGTGGTGTATTGGTCATAGCTCATTTTCTCAAAGAGTACATCCTACCGAAGATCAGTCTAGGTTTCGAAGGAGAATCAGGTGGAGGATACTTACGTTCAGAACCATAGCACCGTGAACAACTCCTTTGATCCCCGGCATGCCAGCCATATCCTTTTGAATCAGGCTATTGACCGAGCTGCTGTCAGAAACATCACAGCCTTTGACGTTAACTTTGACTCCGATAGCACTTAGTTCGTCAATCAATATCTTGACTTTGCAGGAGACGGTTCCCTTTCTGGAAACCAGGACAAGGTTTCGAGCTCCGTGATCGACCATCCACCTGGCCATGCTTCGTCCCAGGCCACCTGTCCCACCAATCAAGATGTAAGAGGCGTCCGAATGGAGGAACGATTTACTCTTGTTCGGAGGAATTGCCTAATTTGGATTCTCATTAGCATAGTCTACGCAGTGTGAGAGGGGAATTAGAGCACAAACCTTCACCATTGCTCCGGCTTGAGGCAGAACAACCATTTTGCCATCTAAATTCGCATTCCGCAAAGAATTAAACGCTTCCTCCACATTCGAGATGGAAAAGATTGTGAGGTGAAGAGGTTTGGTGTTTCCTTGCCTTATGAATTCCGACACATCGATAAGAAGTCTTTCCATCAATCTCGGCCTCTCAAGAGCAATAGAGAGCAAGTCAACCGACATGAAACTGCGATTTTTCTGAAGACCAGCAGTCTCAAATCTCGCATTGGCGTTGCTGTCTGTGTCTTTGATAGCAACAAATCGGCCAAAATTGCTGAGACTGCTCCAAAGATCTCTCATGGTATCAGCATCTGCGGGGACACAGTTGAATACCATATCGAAACCAGATTTAGTGCTCTGTTCATGCAAGTCGAGCGAGATTTGATCCTCATGCAATCCAAATGTCTTCATCAGATATTCTTTGCTCTCGATGCTTCGGACGGTAGCAGACACCCCAGCTCCAAGATTTTGGGCTAGGCAGATGGAAGCTTGGCCCACTGCACTCCCGGCGCCGTGAATCAACACACGTTCCTCGTTGAGCAATCGACCGAGATCAATTAGGCCGTAATATGCCGTGGAGTATGCGACGGGCATCGAAGCTGCATCTTGAAAGTCGAGATCATCCTTGATTTGAAATGCGAATCGCGCCTTCGTCCGAGTCAATGTTGAATAAACTCCATTATCGAGGGAGAGGCATGCGACTCTGTTCCCGACGGCGAGGTTGTTGACATTGCTTCCGGTCTTTGTAACGATGCCACCACACTCTATACCAAACTTTGTTATGTCGATCGGACCGATGTCGCGGGAGTTCATACCAATTGCTTTAACTTCTAGCTCGATCTCATCGCTTAGTAGAGCATCATTGAGTGCCTGGTCGACAAAACGAACCGTTTCTAAGGCGCCTGGCCTTACCATTTCCATCTTTAATGGTCTCCCATCTTGTGTGAATGGTGTATGCTCGAGAACAAAATCTTCGCTGGTCTCCTTGTGCACGTATTGGTTCATCTCTGCATCGGCAACGATGCGAGGAGTTGACAGCACACCCTTCCTTTCCATAAACTCTAACTCGCAGTTTGCTTCTGCTTTTGGACCAAAGACTGCCTGCAGGACGGCAAGGATTATTTGTGTAGAATTAGGGGTGGTAAGAGATTCGGGATCGAGATCCAGAGTTGCGAATTTGAGCGTAGTTTCTGAACGGATGCTTCTGCTTAGTCCTGTGATCATGTTCGCGTCTGGGTTGTTAGAGGAGACATAAGCTCCGCGGACAACCCAGAGGATACCCTCCGTGTTTGCGACAAGCTTTTGCAAGGCGGTAAAATCGGTGGAGGTGAATGATGAGAGAAGTGGTCGCTCAAGCTCGGAGATAATGAGACAGAGCTTGCCGGATGTCTTGTCTATGTTAAGGGTCGCGAAATTCTCTAATGATGGACGAGTTCCGGTCAGGCGTTCCGAGGCCTCTGCTATTTCCGAAGCAATCTGTGTTTGGGAAGCGCCGTCTCCACGGACAATGACCAACCCCCCTGTGAAAAAGTCTGACACAGTGTGTGGCGTAGATGAAAGTCCGTTCGTAATGCCATTCACGATTCCATTTGACAAACTGTTCAAAGGCTTGTAGTTCCCATTTGTTATCCCATTGGAGGTGGTTGACGATTCTGGGAATTGGATGTCAATTGGCTCCCATTCTAATTTATAGCAAAGATCTCTCGCGGTTTCAATTCCAGATGCATTTTCGTGCTCCACAATTGGTGAGACCGTCAGGTCCTTCAAACTAATGAGGACCTCCTCACTGTCTATCGCAGTCGCGAACATCGATCCATGAAAAGGTAATAGATTTGACTGTGGAAACCCGCCTTGGCAGAATGCTTGCAAGGAGTCTCCAGCTTTCTTTGCCAAGTCGGAGATTTTTCTTGAGATCGTAAGGTCGTCGATGGAGGAGGGGAGGTAGACTGGGTTGAGAGTGGTCCGTCCTGCGCCGATTATCGGCCAGTACATTTCGATCAGCTGCTCCAGAAACGCAGGGTGGATGACAGAGTCTGTTTGGAAGGCATGCGGCATCTCTTGTGCAGTATCGACGACCGTAAGGGTAGCCTTGGCGAAGCCGTCGCTTGCTTCACAGTCATTCATCCCTTGGAAACTCGGTCCATAGGAAACACCTAGGCGGGAAAGGGAGTCATAGAACTTGATCTTATCCACAAAAGTTGTCTCGGCGCTTGAGATTTCCGCCATTGTTAGTTTTGGCAAAGGTATCTCACAGTCGGCTTTTAGAGTGATCAATCCTTTGCAATGCTCGGTCCATCCCTTGGAAGCAGTCCACGAATGGATCCGGAACTCGTCCCAACCACCTGAAGAAGTTCCTTCTTGTTGAGGGCGTAATTGCAGGGTCAATTCAACGTCGTTGTCCTCTAGGACAAGGGGAGCATGAACAGAGATCTCGCGGAGGTGGAAGGTGTCGTAAGCAATTTTGCGTAAGACAGCCTTCTGGGACGCAGCTTCGATGGCTATCGAGATAAAGCCTGACATTGGGAATAGAGTCAGGGACTGGATTTGGTGATGGCGAAGCCAAGGCAGATCGTCAACTCGTATGATATTTCTCCACGTAGGTTCGAGGTCGTTGGAGTAATTGGCCAGTGTACCGAGGAGATCGTGTCTGCGCGTTGTTCGGCCTTTGTGTTTCTTGACGACTCGACCTTCATGCCAATATCGGGTCTTATGGTTCCAAGGATATCGAGGTATATCGACCAATAAGTCCGGTTTCTGTCTGAGAAGATTGATGGCGCCGAGGTTGAGGTTCACTCCTTTGACAAAGAGTGTCGAGGCCATCTCTAACGCCGTCTCAACTGCATTGCGTTTTCTAGTAAGAGTTGAGAGATATGAGATTTCTGTACGCCCATAGGCCTTCAAAATTTGCTTCACGGGCCCGGAGAGTGCTGAGTGTGGCCCGATTTCAACAATGTGAGAAACACCAGTCTTGTACCCGTCAACGGGCTGGCACATACTGAAGACAGTCTCGGAGAATTGGACAGATTGGGTGAGATTATCCACCCAATAAGACGACCCAAGACCAGAAGAATCTTTGAGAAGATGTCCAAATAAAGAAGAGTGAAATTTTATTTCGGTCGACTGTGGTGGATCGATCGATTGAAGCTTTTCTCGGTAGTCATCGGCAACGAGGTCCATATGGTGGGAATGGTAAGCAGTATTGACTTGCAATTTCCGAGCGAACCACCGCTTTTCTTCCATTATCTTCTGGAGTTCATCAATCACAGGTTCATCCCCTGAGATCGTGAGACTGCTCGGGCTGTTGAAACAAGCGATGCTGGCCTTAGCTATTTTCGTATTCAGCTGAGCAAGAATGGGCTCGATGTCTTCTTTGCTGGCTCCAACAGCCATCATAGACCCTCTGAGATGCAGGAACTTCTTCAAACCGAGAGTCGCCATCCCTCGGTGGTATGAAATTGCCATACACGAGTCGAGTGACAAGATTCCTGCTGCGTAAGCGGCACCAATCTCACCACTCGAATGGCCAGCAACTGCAAAAGGTTGAATACCCCATGATCGCAGTAAATCCGTCAGAGCTAGTTGTAATGCTGTACAAGAAGGTTGACTAATGTGCGCCTCATTGATAAGTGAATCCACGGCATCTTTATTCATTTCGGCTAAAGATAAATCATTAGTGAAGACCATATGATTCAAGCCAGTGATTCAGACGTACCAAGGAGAGAAAAGGGAGCACCAAGCGAGGCTAAATATGTTTCGCAGGCATTGATTGTTGATGCATAAACGGGATACTGCTCGTATAGTTCCCGGCCCATGTTATAGTACTGTGCACCTTGTCCTGTGAAAATAAACCCGATACGCAAGCCATCAGTTTCGCCTCTCCCAGGTAAGACCTTTCCACTGTTGAGCGCTTGGATTAGATAGAAGGAAGATGTTGTAGGTATCGCAACTCTCCACTGCATTCGCGACCGTCGTGCAAGGGTATAGGCCAGATTGCTCATCAAGTCATTTTGAAAGATTTCGGGTCTCTGCTCGAGGTAAATTCCAAGCTTTCCCATTAATTCTTGTAAAGCATCTTTACCGTTGGCAGACAAGACAAACAGCTTCCTAGACTGAAAACTGGATTGTCCTGGCCCTTCACATTTCTGCAAGAATGGTGCTTTTTCTAGAACGACATGCGCATTAGTTCCTCCAAATCCGAAGTTATTGATGCTTGCGAACCGTTTCTTCGGCCAAGGCCGTTGACTTATTGGCACCTGCATAGAGTCAGATATTGTTGGACGCCTTCAAATGGGCAGAGATACCTTTAGATTCCATTTGGAGAACGGGATATTTTCGTTTGGTTTCTTGAAGTCGTAATTTGGCAAGATAAAACCACGCTCTAACATCATGGCTGTTTTGATCACTGAAATTATGCCTATATTTTGTCAGAGGCAAAAGCATAAAGCTGCGACGCACGACTTACCGGAAGCTGCCTCGAGATGGCCAACATTCGACTTCACTGAACCAATAAACAGCGGATTTCGAGCTGAGCGACCTTCACCAAACACTTTGTGCAATGCCGCAACCTCGATTGGGTCTCCAACTTTAGTCCCGGTCCCATGGGCCTCGACGTAGCCGGTCTCTTTTGGATCGATGCCGGCGTTTTTGTAGACGGATTCCATTAGCGACTCTAGAGTGATGCTGTCAGAAATATTACAGATATGAGTGACAGAAACGGAATACCTTGGGCGGCGCCATTTGGCATAGTTATGCCTGAAGTCTTCCCGTCTTGGTTGATGCCACTAGCAGCAATTACGGATCGTATATTATCATTATCATTTTGTGCTCGATCCAGTGCTTTCAAAACCACAATTCCGCAGCCCTCACCACGTCCATAACCTGTGCCTCGATTGTCGAAAGAAAACGACCTCCCTTCATCCGAGAATAACCTGCGTTTGTCAGTTTCAATCCCCGCCCATTCGCGTTTGAAGCTCAACTCACCGTGCTTTTGACATAGACACCCAAAACTCCGGTAGCATGTTCAAATGACAACCACCCACGATTGCAGTATCGCATTCCCCGTTTCTTATACTTTGGCATGCTTGATGGACGGCGACAAGACTGGAAGAACAAGCTGTATCTAAGGTAAAGCTAGGACCCCGCAAATCAAAGAAATAAGATATGCGATTCGACTGCATTGCAAATGCGCAACCTTGTAGTGTTAGCACAAATCGATAGATGCCATTTGGAGAACCAAGTTGCAACTCACCTGTAGCTTGATACATGGGAATCGTATCTGTGTCTGTGAATGATTGTGCTTCATACTCGGAGAAACTGCCCCCAATAAACACCCCTACGCGTTTCCCGATAATCTCATGCTTGGGCATTCCTGCATTTTCGAGTGCTTCGAATGTGCACTCCAGCAAGAGGCGTTGTTGGGGGTCCATGGAAGTCGCCTCTTGGGATGTAAGGCCAAAGAAAGGAGCATCAAAACTTGCGATGTCTTCACTAAGAAAGTGCCCTCCGACCGCATTGAAGCAGCCACTCTTTCCTGGGTTTGGGTGATAAAAACTGGCATCATCAAACCGCTCCTTTGGAATTTTGGACCATCCACTTCGCGCGCGTGAAAGAAGCTCCCAAAACTCATCTGGGGTCGTAACATTTCCTGGAAGTCGACATGACATGCCCACAATTGCAATTGGCATTATTTTTAGTGATCTGTTGCCTTTTATGTAGCCCTCGGTATAGCCATGTGTGTAGGCATCTGTGTAAAGCTTCGTGCAAGGCCTTCCTTCTCCATTTTGACCATTGTTCTCAGATTCTTCGTGCTCCTCGGTCATCGTCTCCCTGCTGCCGTCTGCGCCCTCCTGGGGCGAGGCCAATATAGTCGCTGAGGGTGCCATTCGAGTCCTGTTGTTGATCCCGTCAGTTCGAAGACACTGATGTGAGTTTATAGAGAAAAAGATTGGGTCTGACTACAGGTCGAGATAGACCACACAGTCTCAGTGAACGGTCAGGGATGGGAGCTCTGGCTGCACTCGATGCCACCAACGGGTAAAGGGGGACATTTGTTTGTAGCCGCATAGAGGGCGTAGAAACTCATCAACAGGTTGGCACGTCTGAACCCCTTGTTAGCTCTCGCCGATGCAGTTGATCCGGCCTCATTCCGTGCTAGCAGATCTGAGCCAGGTAGATCTGTTCACCCCACCAGCAGCTATTCCGAGGAGGAGTTTTCCGGCAGTTTCAAGAAACATTCATATCAGTGATCAGCTGCGAACGGATCTTCTGCTGATCCTCCTGGATCTACCAGTTTCCGGAAGCTTGACAGATCGTCCCCAAGTAGTCGCCGTGCTCATCCTGTCACAGCCTATCACGTTCCTTGATAAGCAACCCATTCTCACCCTGTAATTTGTTCGATGCGTCAAAGAAACATGGACTACTAAGAATGCCATTGTGAATTCGGATTCCTGAAGGGCCCTTGGACCGCCCGTGCAGAAGCCGAGCTCAACACTGCTTGCGCTCGAGCACCAGTCGTGTCACAATCGAGGCTTGGCAGCTCAAAGGAGAACCAATCACAAAAATATACACCTGCACCGTGTAAATCGGGCCAAGATGTTGGGCCAGGAACAGAAGAAATTTAAGAGGCCCGAAAAATCAAAAACAAATGTCATGGAACTGGGAGTGTCATGATCACGATAGGTGGGGTTGATGTTCAAATAAAGTTTCAGCCTTGATGTAATAATGTTCAGCGCCAAGCTCAGCCCCCTTCTTGCGTTTCAATGATTTTCCACTAGGATGACACCCTCGTGTATTTCTCCAGGGGTGACCGGTGAAGAAAGTTTGTTACTGTCAATGTTCCATATCCTGGCGAGCTTGCAGCCCAGGAGCAAAAGCAGCAAAAGTTTTATCGACAGCATGAGATAATAATTCCGACGGGGAACAGAGGTCAAAGTTTCCACGTGTGACAGACCCAGGTTCCGAAAACGGACTCAGGTGCTCGTCATCTTGGCAACGCTCAAGATTTAATCCATTTCTATCTGATTTCCTACCAAAAGTCTGCGCTTTCTTCATTATTTCAAAATTCTATTTCCTGAAAGAAACAAAGTCCAACGATTTAAATCAACATGAAGTTTCTGTGTTTATGTGGAGCCTATGGGAGTGCAGATGTAAGCCACTTTTGGTCCACTATCTATTTATTAAGCTAACAAGTTGAGCAGAAATTCGAAGTCCAACTAGGTAAAAACACCATTATCACCTTTTTATGATCATCGCGCTTACTTTTCGAAAGCTCCGCTGGTCAAGGAACTTCGTTCTGATAACGCCGCGGAGTTGAAGTTTGTCCACGGGCCAGTTCAAGCCTCTCCACCAGAAGGATTCGAAGAATTCTTTGGCATTGGTCCATATTATCGGTTCATCAAACCAGCGCAGACAGAAACAGGCAGCAATGACATCCTCGACAGAATCCGACAATTCCCCAAAGGTGCGACTGCCGAGGATCAGATGCGAGAGTTGATGCGTGGAGGCATGACGGCGGTTCCTGTTTCCGACTTGGATGTTCACAGTAATGAAAGTGTTCAGGAGGCGTTGGATTACTTGTACGCGATAATGGAAGAAGACGGTCCTTTTGATGGAATCATCGGCTACTCCGAAGGCGCAACAGTTGCGGCAACTTTAATATTACATGAACAAAGGAGGTTCGAGATTGAGGGTAGGGAACCAATGTTCAAGTGTGCACTGTTCTTTGCAGGATGGCCTCCCATGGATCCTGAACTGAACAGGATTGTTCTGGCAGACGAGTCTGATTTGATGATCACAGTTCCTACTTGTCACATAAGTAAGTACACCTCCGCCTTGTTACGGTGCTATTTTTGGTTTCTAATTCCTATTAGTTGGCTCTTTAGACCCGTATCTTGCCGGTTCCATGGCACTTTACAATATCTGCGATATGGACAACGCATACCTGTTCGATCATGCGAAAGGACATACTTTGCCAAGAGATAGACACACTGTGAAGGAACTTGGGGATATTATACGAGCTATGAGTTTGGACAATTGAGGCGTGTTGATTAATGTCAGGATTCGTCGCTGCTTGGGCTGGGCGTTGAAGATTTCAAGGGAATTATATGCAGGTATATATCATGATACCAAGGCGGCATATGGGATTTTTAGTTCTAGCATAAGTTTACTTTTAATAGACTGAAGTGTTTTTTGTAATCCACATAGTCGGGTCGAGAGACGTTCTCCCTCCCGGTCGTATCGGTGTAGCAGAATTTGCACGTGATGATATTCAGTGTATCAAAAAAGTAATCAAGGTATTCCGAATATTCATGAATATTCATGATTAGCTTGAATAGAATATAATTACCGCAATGCTTAAATAATTTGATTAGATTAGAATATATAATCATGAATATTCATGAATACTTTGATTACTCTGCACGTGACTATGGCACGTGATACGCTAGCCTAATTAAGTAGAGATCCCGCTCTAGTGTCGCCTTAGCGCCACCTCGCTGCCTAATTACGGAGTAGTGGGTCGAAAGCCTTGCAAAGACGATGCTAGATCGGGAGCCATACCTAATTAGGTTAGTATATCACGTGCAACAGTCACGTGTATAGTAATCAAAGTATTCATGAGTATTCATGATTACCTTAATTAGAATCTGATGAGAATATAATTAGTGGGTATTTTTGATGAATAGATTAGATTACTAGCCAGTATTCTAATCTAATCTATTCATTTGACACACTGATGATATTGAGTCCTGCTTCGTGCTAGGTTTCAATTCAATTCTCTAGCTCCAAGGTCCGAACACTCGCAAAAAAATCTTTCTAACAGGGTGATTCCACTCCAGACATGATACACAGTGAGTCAATCAACTGTGGAGCTATCTGGTGATTCTGGTCCAAGCCTCCCGGACCTCACCCTCGACCCAAAAACGACTACTTGGCAAGTGTTCCTCCGCTGTTTTAGGCGGAGTCGATCACAAAATATGACGCTAACAAACGTTCATGATGAGATTGAAACATGTAGTGCTGATCTGATGCACAGCGCACAAACATCCGCAAAGCCAAGTTTGCCGGGATGAGGTCCATGCAGCGCAGTCCCTGGCGAACCTCTGTGTGGCTTAACTGTAGCACTTGAATGGGTGAGAAACACCGACTTCACAAATTATCGCGTGGTATTGAGAAGCCAGATTGGAAGAAGTTTCGACCTCACTACACGTCCAGTACCTAGCAGCAACTCCAAGGAATCAAGTATGTCAGCGAAGTACGAAAATTTGGGTTCGGCTGGTTCTCCAACTTCTCCAACTTCCCCGAATGAATGGGCGACCTCGGATAATGCGCCCCTACTGATGGGAGAGACTACCTCCGAGGAGGGCGAAAGGACAGAAGACACACCAGAAGCAGAGCCCCAGAAGTCTTCAAACATTGCCGAGTTCAAGATAACTGTCTCTCACTTTTTAGTGAGTGGTGAACATTAGGCTTCCGGGCCAGCGTTAACGGAAAAAGCAGAGAATATTTTCCTATTCTACCAAAAATAATAAACTGCTTCTTATCACTTCCGCGATAGCGTCTCTGTGTACCGGCATCTCACTTCCACTTATGAATGTCTTGTTTGGTAAGCTCAATCATGGTCCAAAGTCGCTAGTCTCTGACTTTTTAGGTGAGCTTGTTGGAGTTTTCAGTGCACTTTACAACCCAGCCTCAGGCGTGTCACCAGACATGTTCATGCAAATCATAAATAAATATGTGTAGGCTGCCAGGCCGAAAACCTCTTAATCGAGCACTGAGAAATATCCAGATTATACATGCTCTACCTCTTCATCGGTCGAATTCTTCTAGGCTATGTTGGAATTGTACTCATTCCAAGATGGATTTGAACATCGGGATACTAACACTATGGCAGCTAGGCTTTCGGATCGCCAGTACTCGGATCTCAGCATCCATGCGTCTAGCATACCTCCGAGCGCTTTTCAACCAACCCATCTCTGTTCTCGACACGCTTCCTCCAGGGCAGACAGCAGCAATAATTACTACTACAACCAACATTCTCCAAGTTGGGATATCGGAGAAACTGTCCATGTTTCTTCAATCCGTGTCACTTGTCGTTACCGCTCTAATCGTAGCATTTTACTATAATTGGCAGCTTACTCTTGTCACGAGCAGTGGGTTGGTGTTTGTTATGGTGTTTTATTGCTTCACTATCCCATTTTTAGTAAAGAGGTTAAAGGAAGTAGAGGATGCTGATAGAATGAGTGCATCCATTGCGAACGAAGTATTTGAATCCATTAGGATGGTGGCTGCTTGTGGGGCAGAAGAGAAAATGGCAAAGAAGTATACTGGCTGGGTAGAAGAGTCACGACGGAGAGGTTTCCTGCTCTCACCTTTGGTTGCAATTCAGCAGGCACCAGGTGCGTGAACACTTCATTCAGGCGTTCTTGACTTCCGAAATGCTTAATCTGACCTACGTACAGTTTTCTTCGCCGTTCACACGTGAGTACTAAACTTTCTTGCTGTCAAGCAAGATTTTAATTGACTCACAAGCACAGTACATTTGCCCTTTCATTTTGGTACGCCGTAAAACTATATCTGGCATTGCAGATACCCAGCGTCACAATTATCATGATGTGAGTACTTCTTCTTGACCGCATGACTTGAAGCGTAACTTTGACCCCAAACAGTATACTTACATCCATCATGACAATCGTGATGTCCATCGGAGGAATCGCTGGTCCTGTGACCTCAGCTGCACATGCTGCCGGTGCAGCTAGCATTCTGTTTACTATCATCGATGCCCCGAAACCCCCAACAAAAGGCATTGAGGAAATGAATGCATCTTCTGAAGACATCATATTTCAGAATGTCGATTTTGTTTATCCAGCAAGATACGACCTGAAGGTCCTAGATAATCTAACCCTCCGGTTTTCTGCTCGAAAGGTCACAGCTATCGTTGGTCCTTCTGGTTCGGGAAAAAGTACGATTGTAGGATTGCTCGAGAGATGGTACGAGCTTGATGGAAATTTGACTGATAATGCTATTGTAAGCTAAACCAAGAAAGGGGGAAGTCTGGCTGATGATTGAAATTAGACACTGTTCTTCAGGTCCGGTACTATCACAGTGGGCAATCGGAATTTGCGCGAAATAGATCTCAAGTCATGGAGATCTCAAATTGGACTTGTTCAACAAGAGCCTTTCCTCTTCAACGACACAATATCGAAGAATGTGGAATACGGGTTGGTAGGCACTAAGTGGGAACATGGAACCGAAAAGCAAAAGAGGAAGTTGGTTGAACGAGCCTGCAGGGAAGCTTTTGCCGATGAGTTTATTTCTCGGCTCCCTGAAGTTCGTCAATTTTCCGCCTTCTTCCTGGCGCCACATGAGGTTGGGAGCTGATTCAAAAGCAGGGATATAATACAGTAATTGGAGACGCAGGAATAAAGTTGAGTGCTGGTCAGCGTCAGAGAGTAGCAATCGCTCGAAGTATCGTTAAACAACCCCGTATCTTGATACTTGACGAAGCCACCAGCGCCGTCGATATCCGTAGCGAACGAATCGTGCAAGCAGCTTTAGATCGAATTTCCAAAAATAGGACCACGATTATGATTGCTCATCGCCTTTCAACTATCAGGAAAGCGGATAATATAGTCGTGTTGAAGAAGGGTAAGGTGGTGCAACAAGGAACCCATGAGGAACTGTTTGCTGACACAGAGGGCACGTATTGGGGACTTGCGCATGCCCAGAAGCTTTCTCTGGGTGATGACACCCCGGAAATTAATACCCTCTTAGATCCTGAGAAGCAGAATGGATATCGAAGGGAGGAAGAAAGGTTCAGAGAGCAGCACGAAGCAGTTCCAAGCTCCGAAAGTTTTTCACATGATTCAAAATCCGGAAGCTTTGCACTCTTTCTCTGGGAACAAAAGTTCCAGTGGAAATGCTACGGCTTGATGGTTTTCGGTGCTTTGGGTGTTGGTGGTTCGTCTCTCCAAATGACGCACTAGTAATACAAGCTGACTCGATACTCAGTTTCGTTCCCCTTCCATGCCATCCTCTTCGCAAGATTGATCTCCTTGTTCAATCTCTGGGGACAAGCACTCCAAGATCAGACCAATTTCTGGTGTCTTATATTCGTCTTCCTAGCTGTCGGGGTCGCAATCAGTCACACTGTCTTGGGATGGTCCTCCAACATTGTCTCCTTCGTAAATTTACGAGCCACTATTCGGCAGCGCAATTCTCGCTTAGCGAAGCCCCTTTTCGCATACCCATCCATGTTCTTAAATGCTAACACTCCAACGTTTAGCAAATAACAGCAAATTATCGAAAGGAGTATTTCCAAAATACTCTTGCTAAGCAAATTCCGTACTATGATCAAGAGGAGAATTCGGTCGGAGCTTTAACCTCCTTGATGATTGGCGATCCCATTCAATTGCAACAACTCCTCGGAAGCAACATGGCAATTGTTCTCATCGCTCTTTTTAACATTGTGGGCTCAATCGCCCTATCGCTGTATTTTGGCTGGAAGCTTACTCTGCTGGCAATTTGCATAACTATGCCCATTATCTTGTTTTCGGGGTACCTCCGAATTCGCTACGAGGTGGAATTTGAGAGCATGAACCATGCGGTCTTTGCTGAGAGCAGCAAATTTGCTACAGAGGCTATTGGAGCTATTAGAACTGTTTCTAGTCTCACACTTGAGGGGACAATTTGTCGAAGATTCGAAGAACTATTGGAAAACCACGCTAAGAATGCTTTGAAGAAAGCGAGGTGGTCTTGTTTTGTTTTCTCCTTGAGCGATAGCATTTCGATTCTGTGTATGGCGTTTATTTTGTGGTAGGTTTCCAACTGGAATCTTTCCTTGGAAGAAGACTAAAAATCTTCTAGGTACGGAGGACTACTCCTCTCAGGTCACGAGTATACTCCATTCAATTACCGTAAGACCCTTCTCCTTTTTGCAATGGAAAGAAATACATTCTAATTAGAATTCTAGTGGTTGTCTATCTGGCAGTCGTGCAGGGGAGTACCAGCGCTGGACAGTCATTGAGCTTTGGTCCTAGTTTGTTTATCTTTCCTTCCATCTTTTGCTCTAAATGGATGTTCACTGACACAATTTTTACATCTTAGATATAGCTTCAGCCTTTGCAGCGGCAAACCGAGTCCGAAATATGCGCCCATCTATTGAAGATGACACCACTTCCATTGCAGAAGAACTTCCACTCGACAGTGAAAAGGCTCTCGGGGTGACTATTGAATTCAGCAATGTTTCCTTCAAGTATCCCACCAGAGATGTTGCTGTGTTAGAACAACTCAACATGAGTGTAAGCTTGGATCGATTTATAAAGAAGACTTAATCGACTAACATGAGGCGGAACAGATCGAAGCTGGCCAATTTGCTGCTATAGTCGGTCCATCTGGTATCCATCCACATTTTTTCTCCTCATGCATATCTTTTCATTGTCAAAGCTTTCGCTAATATGGTGCTAACCTAATGCAGGATGTGGAAAAACAAGCATAATATCACTGCTTGAACGGTTTTACACACCGCAACGAGGCAATATTCTTTCCAGCGGTCGTGAGATCGGTAAAGAGCCACTTTCTTCCTATCGTTCCAACATATCCCTCGTTGCTCAAGAGGCTGGCTTGATATCCGGAACGATATGTGAGAATATTTTGCTCGGCATCCCATCAGCACCCTTTTCATCTTGTGAATCATGCTCAAGCAAAGCGAAGGTGGAATTGGAGGCAAGGGTGCACTCAGCTTGTCGTGCGGCAAGAATACACGATTATATAGTTTCATTGCCTGAAGGATATGAGACTGCTGTGGGTGCTAAAGGCTTGGCATTATCTGGGGTAGGTTCGACCTTCTCTATCATCATTGTCGTTCCCTGCCAACCCATATCCCACCAAATTCTCCATATCACATGCTTATCACCACCTTAGGGTCAGAAACAACGGATAGCAATTGCCAGAGCGCTTATCAGGAATCCAAGGTTGCTGCTGCTTGATGAAGCGACGTCAAATCTAGACTCAGAGACCGAGAAGGAGGTCATGGAAGCCTTCGAACAGAGAACGACAGGGATGACGAGAATTATGGTTGCACATAGACTTTCAACTGTTCAGAATGCGGATATCATTTTTGTGATGGGTGAAGGGAGAGTAGTTGAGAAGGGGACTCACAAAGAACTACTAGGGATGAAAGGTAGGTATTGGCAAATGTGTCAGAGCCAGGCTCTTGATAGGTAGCATAGCACGGAAAATGAAATTTATTACACTAATGTGTTTTTAATAAGTTCGCTGATTTTATGAAAATTCGAACCAGAATTCTTCCATACAGTCGGTCCGATCCAAAAGCGACAAAACGGTCGCTCTTTTACGCCCATAATAACTTTTTAACCACAACCCTAATTAATTTATACTAAGTAATACGATTATAGAATAGAACCAGGCGAAAAATACCTATTAATTAGATTTTTAATATAATTTGTAGTTCATTAATAATCAAGGCTTAAAGTACACGGACCCTTTTTACTTTTTTGATTTTTCCCTATACAAAACGCAAAAATATTTGCTTGCTAAGGTCACGTGAGCCCGGGCTTCAGGGAGAGATCGCGGCATCTCACTAGCCTTATTATTAATATAATAATAATAATTAAGCCCTATAAGCTCAAGTAAGCCTTCCTAAATACTAAATATAGCTTTTTCTGGTACTATATATATTATATATATAGTAGGTCCCTAATTATACAGGTTTTAAGCTAATTTTTGGCCAAACTAAATCCATAAACCTTACTTATTACTTAGCTACCTTCTTTCCCTTACTTTTGTATATTATCCTATTTATCTATTACCTTTTTAGATATCGTTCTATAGCGTTTTTGCTTCCGTACATACCAAGTAGCTTGTTTAATACTTAATTCCTTCCGATATATATCCATCTAGCAGAACGTACGGTTGCAAAACCTCCGTATAGTCTTAATCGAACAAGCTTCAAGTGCCTCTACTACCTTAATCTTGGTATCTGGGAAGCTAGTCTTCTTTACTTAATAATATCGAGTTTTGCTATACCCCCAGTATATCTCGATTAGGTTGATTTCGCAGTGAAACTTCGGTAAAAATACAGCCTTATATCCCCGATCTGTAATAAGCTCTTTAACTTGGGACTTCTCTTTAAAGAAGTCTTGGTAATTCAATAGTATATGAGCTAAATAGTATATTTGTTCGATAGCGGGAGGGTATTCAAGGAATATAGTATACTTAGTATTCTTTGAATACTTAAATCTTAAGCCAGGGATATTATAACCTCGCTTAATAAGAATCTGTTCCACGCCCTTAGGCTCTCTTTCTCTATTCGAATTAAGTTGCCAAAGGACTTGAATAGTGCCCTATAACCCCGGAATTATATACTCTGGTGGAAAGTATATATTCCTTCTATAGGCCTTAATATTATCCTTTTTAACCCCCCCTAATCCCTTATTTATACCAAAGGCGTTTAGTATACCTTTGCTATACGAAGCGTATATAGAAGACTAATTAAATATTAGAATAGCTATATAGTTTGGGTACTTCTATTTAAATATATTGAGTATCCTAGTAATCTGTACTAGTAGCTGTTTTATATCCCACCAGGGGTCCCTATTTGAGCCTGGATATATAATTTAACGGGTATTTAAATTAGGATCGTCCGGGATAAAAATGCCTTTATTATTTAGTACTCTAATACGCCCCTTAGGGCCTATAAATTCAGAATCGTAAATTAGCCTCCCTTTACTCTTTCCGGGCATTTTTTGCTAATTATCTACTAGCCAGAGGCTCTTTTTATAGTCAAATCTATAGAAACAGCTCTTATTATAGAAGTATATTATATATACCTAAACTTTAATTAGAAGTAAAGATTAAATCATATATTATATACTAGCTTTATCCTCCTTATATTAAATTATATATAATAAAAGCTCCTTTATTAAGGATAAAAATACCTCTTAATAATACTCAATTATATTAGGGCATTTATATTCATTTATATAAAGTCCTTTCTTAGTCTTATAATAATAAAAGCCGAGCCTAGGGAGCCATAAGTAAGCTATACTATAAGTAATAGGCTTTTCTATTATTAATAATAATCGAGGTAAAATCTCCTAATTAATAGTATTTAGGAAATTATTTAGTAATATTATTCCAAGCTCTTAATTAATTAACTAAATACGGCAGGCTAAAAAAATATCCTCGTTATCTAGATAAGAGGTATTCTCTCTTTTACTACCCCTAGTTTCTTGGGAAATACCATACCACTATTAATAGTAATTAAATAGCTCTCTAATTCGCCGAGCTAGTATCTTTCTGTTATTTAAGTAGTAATTACTAGAAGCTACTAAGAGTAATATATTAATTCTTCCAAGTTAATATTGCCCTAGCTTTAGAAGCTATTAGGTATATTACCGGAGTAAGTATAAATTAGTAATTATATATAAAGTATATAGCTCTTTGGTTTGAGCTAGCTTAATATCCATATTATTAAGGACTTCTTGGTAAGTTATTCGTATATCTAGAGCTTTATTATCTCCGCAAGCGTTTCTAATAAGAGTATCCAAAAGTAGCTCGTTTATTCTATTATCTTTATCTTTAAGCCTTTATTCTTCCCTTAATTACATATTCCTAGGGATATTAATTAACCTCCTAATAATATCGAATTATAGTTTCTTTTATTTAAAAGATAGTATAATTATAGGGGTCTTAAGCCAACTAGATTATTCTATAACTTGAGTATCTTTTACTCTCTAATTATATATATGTTTTTATTAAGTTCTTAATGGCTTTACTAATTCCTTTATTAATTTGGGAATATATAAGCCTCTGGAAGCTAGAAATAATATTAGTATACTTATATTATAATATAAAAATAATAAAATAAGATAAGAAACTTACTAGCCTGCTCTATAAGTCTTTGCTCTCGCTATACGAATATAGGCTTCTCCAAAATAATCGTCTCATTACTACTAATAATAAGCTTTCGCTAAGCCTAAAAGAGAGTCAAATCTTCAAGCTCTACTTCGTTATTTTATTTAATATCTGATTTATTAGAATCGTCCTCTATATTAGAGGGTTTCCTATACCGTTTATTAATAGATACTTGGATTGCAGCTTCTTTAGCTATAGTAAGAACTATAATTAAATCAAGAGTCGAATTAGCTTGCTTGTATTTCTGAAGGCTTATAGAAGTAGCTATTAGAAGTATATAAAAGAGGCACTAAATTGAGTTTATGGTTATTAAGATATTAATATAATTATAGAAGAGCAATTAACTAAGGGGGGCAGTTACGTAATAACCAAAGTAAAAAAACGACTATATAAAACGCAAAAATATTTGCTCGCTTAATTGCGTATATTATAACTTCCTTAATAATAAAGATATTATAATTTTGAGAATATAGAATTAATTCCTATAGTATATAGTATAGTTTTAATTAATACGATTTATATTAATTAGTATTATAGTGGTTTTTTTTTTTTTTTTGTCGCTTTTGGATCGGACCGACTGTACCTTGACAAGGAACCTATAATGGTAAGAAATCCCGGCCATGAGAAGTCAGAAGGCCTTGAGTCTCCTGATTGGCCGCAGTCGAGGGACTCGAGGTTCGTATATTTTTACCACTAAGACAACTGAATCAACTGACTCCAATGAACCATTTTCTTTCGTGGTCCAATTATTTCTCGCTTGGAATATTCCTTCGTTTAGATGTATCCAATAATTAATGGTTTCTCAGCCTTGGGCTTACCTCCGAAAACTTGCTTTTGCTTGAAGGAAGGTGGCTGAGTTCCCAAGCTGCTGATTGGATACAGCTGATTCCTCCACTTTGCACTGTCTCGGGCTCAGGAGATTGATGTGGCGTTTGGCGTTAAAAAGTTAAGGGAACAAACCAGAAAAATCTTAAAAGGCGTCCGCCCTTCTTTCGTTATTTCGAATACCAGGTGTGGTCGAGGAAAAGAAAACCTTCCTCTTTTGACTATCCGAATCTCCATTATCCGCTATGCCTTCTAAGTTGAGCATTGTTCTCTCGTTCTGTTTCTTGTGGCCCGCGGTTCTAGCCGCTGCGACGCCAAAATATTATCGTGAGCCGTCTCTATTCCCCCTCGCATTCGTCGACTTGAGTTGACGAAACACCTACTGTACAGTGTCATTGAAAGGAATGAAACAAGGACAGCTGTATCACAATAACGTCACCTCTCTTACCAACGTTGTCCAAATTCTGGGCTTCAACTTCTCAGCTTCGGAACCTCGGGATATTGCCTCAGGGTTGCCGACCGGCAAATCTACATTCACCCCCGTGTCGCTGTACAAGGAGATGGACATGTCCTCACCTCTATTAATGCAAGCCTTGACAACGAATGAGATCTTCCAAGCCACGATCACTGCTGTAGACCCAGCCACGAGTCAGTATTGCTATACCTCGTTTGGAAGCGTAGGGCTTGCCAATGCGGTACTGCTTCTTTTATTTGGACTTAGGATACTAACTTTTTTGAACTCGCAGATGGCAATCTGGCCACCACATTCGCCTGGAAACTCACAAACGGAGGCTTGACGAGCGTTTCATATGGGGCTGGATCAACACAGATGGTTGAGTCCATCGCGATGGTCTTTCAGAAGCTCGAAATTGACGCAACAGCGGGTGGTAGTACTGTGTCTACTTTGTTCAACTGGCAGACTCCAATTGCATAATGGGTGAAGCGCTATTTGTATGGTCGGCTTTCAGGCAATCCATTGCCGCTGTGAGTATTTTAAGTGAGGTTATAAATTGATAATTCTCTCTGTGCTTTGCCTGAAAGGGGGCTTTACCCCCGAGCCGACTGCTAAGCGAAGACGCATTCACCACAGGGCCTGGGACTTTACGCTATTTGGGCACAGTCTCCAACTGTGCTGCTGGCTGCCTATTTTGTCACTCGCGACTCGACATGGTCCAGAGTTCACCTCAAATATTCTGCATAACGCGTCTCCTTCCCTTCTTCTCTTCCTTTGTTTCTCCTACTTCCTCAAAAAACCGGTCATTTAAGGTGATGGTACCAATCCAATCCACTATCACGTGCTACAATGTCACCGGAGAGGAGACTGTCCACCAAGTACGGAGCCTTTCCACTCAACTGACTAATAACTTCCACGTTATAGTGAGTAATACTTCTTATTGGCTAATGTCTTTCGACTGGATCCCATGAAGACTTCCTTAATGTCACATCCAGAGACTCTTTAGGCTCGCCTGCTTCCCAACCCAAACTGGCCAGTCTCTGAAGGAAGCTTCAAAGCTCTAGTTAATCTTTCGTGCGGATTCAACGAACTCAATTTGTAACTTTTCCAAAACGGCCAGCGTTAGCTTCCACGGAGCTGACGCTCAACTATATTCCTCTTCTCCAAACTCCCCCACTTCATTTGGCAGTCCTGCTCGCCAAGTACTCTCCACTCCTCATTGATTACGATACGCAGAAGCGAGGGGGGGTTCTCATCTTCCCATTCGGACTTGGATGCTGCCATCAATAAGTTTCGCATGACCGCCTACATGTGGCAAGCTCTCACTTCCGAGGATATGCGTGTCACAGGTCTTGAGCGTCGATCTTTCCGCCTTGATGGGAATGGACAACGGGGGCATTGAGTCGAGAATTCTTGTCGGGCTCTTACGACTCACTTGCAAGCCATATGAGTTCCACAGTCAAGATCCATCTTACTCGATCAGACAAAACGGTCGCAGAGCTTCGCGATGCTCAAGTTGCTCAACAAAACAAGCAAGCCCGGCGAAGGGATGATTTGCACCAACACTTCACTATAGAATTGAAGAAGCATAGAAGTCCTTTCGCCTCCTCTTTACATCCAATTGTCACAGGTCTTACCCTAGACTCAACATTCTTGGATATGCTGCACTTGGCTGCTCCAACCCCAGCGAGATTTCTCTCGGCATGTTCGGAAGTCACCTCACTTACAGCTGGCCCAGGTTCCTGGAGGAAGTTGCAAGCGGCTTGCTTGACACTGCTGTCCCAGGAGACGATGTGAGCAATAACAACAATGAATGAGATATCATATGGGAAGCTCGATCCATTGGACAAGGAGCATTCTTGCCCGAAGTCGGTCATGCTCTCGGCACTCCGCATACAACGGGTATCATGGTACGAGGATATGCGCAGGACTGGCCCAAAACTTCCTATCTTGCACGGCATACTGTGCTCAGACAAAGCGACCCGGTCCCATCTTACCTGACGGCGAGGCCAGCAATGATGCTCGACGGTATCCGAGTGATGCGTTATCAATCAAAGTCTTGCCTCACCTCAAGCTTCCCACCGATCCAGTCTTATCGCGTGAAGCAATCATCGCAGAGCCGAATGTTCAAGTCGCCTTTGAAGATGAACAAGAAGAATTCCTGATATTGGTTATCAGCTCTCCAGCACTGATCGTTCACATCAAATTCAACAAAGTTGAGGAAGCAGAGCTAACTTTCGCTAACCCAATCAGCAAGGCACAGTTCACCTCAGACGAATTGGAGGCTCGATTTGAACGGAGCAACCACCTGGAGCTGGGTGTTCTTGGCATGAATTCCAAATCAGGAGTCATTGGAAACGTTTGGAGATTGTTCTCTAGTGTCTCTTTCATTCGAGCTCCTGGATCTTCTATTGTTCTACAGAAAGGATCCCAGTCCAGAGGTCATGACAAGGAGTAGAGTATTTTTGAAAGATAGCGAACGGTTTTCAAACCCCGGTGGAAAGGTTAAGCTATCGTCGGGCGTCGGCCCTGGCCAGTCAAGGTTTTCGCTGGACGGCTTGTTTGTATAAAAGCTAGTAAGTAATTCTAATTACTAAAGCAAAAGGCAAATGCCTTATAAATATTAATAAATTAATATATAATACTATTAGTAAAGTCGGAAAGTTATTTAGAGGATTTTATAAGTAAAGAATCTTGAAGTTTAAGGTTCGAGAACTTAATAATAAAGTAATTTAAGTATTTGGCCTTAATATATAAGTTGCCAAAATAATCTAGTAACTTAATAATACTTATATTAAGCTCGAGAAGGCCCAATATCTAATTAAATAACTTAAAAATAATTTAATTAAGCCAAGTATTACTATTACAAGCAAGAAAAAGGCCAAGTAAGTTATTATATTAAAGCTTACTTTAATAAATAAACTTGATTTACTACTTCCATTTAAATATTACCCAATAATAATAGTTCTAATATTGGCTATAGGCTTATATAGTACTTTCAGATAATATTACTAAAATGGATATAGACATAATACAAGTAATAAATAAGAAGAGTTAGCCGGAGTATACTAGAAACTGGGTTGTTTTGGCAAAGTTAAAATTATGCTTCGAGTTTAAGTAAGCTACTGGAATTGAACAAAATTGGATTAATAGTTATGGTTTTTTTTCTTTTTTTGGGACTAAATAATTCCCTAAATAAGGGCATTTAGACTTTTCTTTAGGGAAGGGTAATGTGACAGCTGGTATAATGGCATGATCTGCCAGGAATAGGGAATCGGAAACAGGTATAAAACGGAGCTAAGCCAGAATTCTTGGGCAAGATAATACTAAAAGGTCAAGGCATTCCTCCCTTCTTTGCTTTCCAGCTTAGTAGTTTCAAATACATGAGATTTATTAAACTTTGAGCCTTCGACCATTGCATTGATTCCGCTGTCACAATAAGCATCTGTTCTAGGGTTTGCCCAGAGAGGGTACTTATGCATTCTAATCAGAGTTGACCTTCTATTATTACCGCTTTGGGCATATACCTATGTTTTAGGAATGCTATGCGAGCAGAACAGGGGCGTTGCAGGGATTTGCAGTGGCACACTGTTTTTCTTTTCAATATCACTCATTTATTAGACGAGCGCGAAGGTGGGTAGGTATGGATGCTCAGCATCTCCGTAATAAATTGAGCTTGATGGAGGTGATACATATTCAATAAAGTAGGCAAACTCGTTAATTCTAAGACACGGCGAGACTCTTCCTTCGACCCCTGTACTCCTCTAGTCATGATCCCTCGGTAGCCTCTGATCATTTCAAACTCGCCTTACAAGTCTGCTTCACGCTCGCCTGTTTCAATATAATAACTCTATTGAACTGAATTCTTAATTGTTGTGTTTTCTAGGAAGCTCCAGCTTCCTTAAAACTCTGGAGATTACATCCCCACTTAAAAGTGGACCACAGAGCGCACAGCCCCTGATTTTCGACAAACTCGAGTCAATGTGTTGAGCAATTGATCTTTGATCACCCTTTGAATATCGCTCAAGATGGGTTGATCCAATGTATGGTGACCCCGGGGGTCGGCTCAAGCGACTTGCCAGGAGCAACTAAGGTAGGCAATGGAGACGAGTCGGTATCAGTAGAGGTGTCAAGTGTGAGAGGCTAATAGACGCTTGTCAATAGTTTTGTCGATGCTCTGGTTGCCATTCTGCGCTGATCAATGCTGTAGCTGTGCAGATGTCCCCCCACCTTGTAGCTAAACAAGGTTTGGCTTCCATGTTACGGAAAGACTGAGATCATGAGAAGACGTATTTCTTAGAGGACAATGGACTTCAGCATTGATGACGGAGTGGAGAGATAATGATGTAGATGGGCGATATATTGAAACGTAAGGATAGTAAGCAAGATCAGATTGAATGTAAATAGTAATGCACGAACTAAGATCGGCAGTCTTCCCAATCCTATTATCCTGAAATCCTGACTCGACATATATCTTGAAGAGAAGCACTGTTACCCAAAAAACGGTATGGGTTTACCGATCAATCTCAAATAACTCATCATAGAGGAAAGAAATCCTTTTCCCTGTTTCTTTAGATCCTTCCCTTGTGAGATTCTCGGTCTCAACGCTCTCCGGTCCTTCATATCACCAACCCCACATGCCAAACATTATAGATGAGGAAGTTGTCATCAGTGGCGTCGAAGGAATAACCATAGAGGACTATTCGTGCGGTGCAACGGATGGTCTCGCCGCAGAGACCAATGCAATAAGTTGTCATGTAACCACACTCATCTCCTCCATGGAACCCAAGCCCTCGAGGGCTTCTTCACTTCTCCTTTCTCCATGCTCAAGGTACTCTCTGCATCACCGATAGTACTCGCCATCTCCACTTCCCTACTCTCCGCTGCTTCCCCAGATCTCCTTCTCGACCGCCTGACGCAGACGCAGATGGTAGCTGTGAGCGAGAGCACGAATAGCACGAAGACAACGGCAATTGCGGCGCTCGCTCCCGAGCTGAGATTTACGCTGGACTTTGCGGCCGTGTTGTGTGTTGTGGTAGAGGGACCATCGAAGGTATCAGGTGAGTTGGAGGAGTCGCTATAATTGTCGGGAAGAGTGCGTGCAAGGAGGCTGGAAGGGAGGTTGAGGACTGCGGATGGAGCCATTGTATAGTATGTGTATAGAAGCCGCTTGGTTGTTTCTAGTTTTTTTGATTCGTTCGATATTTAGGTAGCAGAAAAAGGATTTAGACGTCTCCTTGAGAGGTGAACTTTGAACGACTGAGGAAGCAAAGCTAGAGGGGAAACACAAGCCACTTATCAATGGCGGCCTGGGGGTACAGCAAATGGCAGCCTGACTCACAAACTGCCCTTCCAAGAACCTTACTGAAAGCAAATTCTTGCCTGGCATGACGCCCGACTGATACGTTGACATAGCCTCGTTTGAGGTAAGAGCCTTTGTATAGATAATGGATGCCTGACTCACTGACAGGGTTTCCAACACCACCCTTGCCGTAAGCACAATTTCTGGACCCCTTGAGCCATGCACTAGTACCCAGACACTGGCGGCTTTGGAGAAGCAACTCTTGTATAGAAAATGGCAGCCTGCCTCATAGGCCCACAAAGTTCCAATTCGGTGTGCATGTGGCAGAGCTGCGAGGTGCGTGAAGGGTTTGATGACTCTTTACCGGGTGGGGCGGAGGGAAGTTGAACCGATTCTTAGTTGGTGCGTTCAGGGCAGGGAGGAGGGTAAGCGACGTCGCACTTGGTCGAATAGGGACCGGCGACCTCGACCCCTGGATTGTGGGTGGAAAAGCCGCATCTGTGTTGGCGTGTTGAGAGAATCGTGAAAGTCGAGGTTGACGAGTGTTTGGTGGGCTGTAAAGGATTTGGGGATGAGGTATAGAGAAGCCAACCGTACCCAAATATAGCTTCTCCGATTGGGAGTCAAGTGGCGTTTTTTTTTCTTCGGACCGGGGCGCTGAAACCGAGCTTGCAACATCTGTCGACAACCTCATCCTCAACTCTCAAAAGATCCCCAAGAAGAACCTTCAACATGAAAGATTACACATATAGCCCGTTGAAAGGTCCCAAAGCTCAAATCCGTCTTGTACGCCTCCTTCCTCTCATCACAACATCAGAGCAGCATGATTCGCACCAGCTCGAGCTACGCTGCACCTTAAAATCTGCTTCCCTCAAGGATAATCCCGAATATACGGCCTTATCATATACCTGGGGCACTCAAGGTCGAACTTCCCGGCTCATTGTTAAAGACGACAAGGGTGATCCAGCCAATGGTGAAACTTCAATCCTCATAACCCCGAGTCTTGAGGCGGCACTCTTGAACTTCCGTCAGCCGACCGAATGCATCACTCTTTGGATTGATCAACTGTGCATCAACCAAGATGACATATCGGAAAAAGATTTACAAGTGCCATTGATGAGAACCATATACGAGAAAGCCAGAGATGTGCTCGTATGGCTGGGACCCTCAACTGATGGAAGCGACCACTTGCTTAAGATTCTCAATGAAGTCGGGAAGCAGGCGTCACAGGCTGGGCTCTTGAATGGCGACAAATCAAATTCTGAGGTGGCTCACGCCTTCGAAGTGTCTTTGTCTGAGCTCCTCAAACCAGGAAGCTTAGGCCCCAGATTCACGATTCCGACAGAAAGTCTGCGCTCTTTTGTAGCTCGCCCCTGGTGGGCGCGAGTCTGGGTGGTGCAAGAGATTTCTGTTGCCTCCTCTGTGGCTTTTGTATGCGGACATCAAAGAATTACATACGACCATCTCCGCAACGCTCTCCAATTCTACGCATTCTATATCCTGAACAAGGCTGAGAAATTCCAAGCCCGCCACTTGATTGCAAAACTTTTCACAATTCGAACTCTTCTGGTCCTGCAAAAAGCGCCCTGTGATTCAGCTGCTACTCAGATGCTGTCGTCAAGCTACAAATATAAGTGCCAGAAAGAACTCACTGGTGGGCATGGATTTCTTCGCATTCTGGAGCTATCGCACGTCGTCAAGGATTCCAACCACAGGTTGAGACTCCAAGCTACCGATGATCGAGATAAGATATATGGCCTGCTCGGACTGGTCAAAAACGCAGATAAGTTGGGGATACAACCACAATATGGGAAAGAATTGCCCGCGGTCTTTATCGAGGTCGCAAGGGCTTTGCTCAAATCTGGACAGGTGGACCTTCTATGGTTCTGCCAATTCCCCAAATCGGAGGGGTGTTTCAAGCTCCCGAGCTGGGTCCCGGATTGGACTGGCTATATACAAGCCCCATATGGAAGTAACTTCTCCTCTACGTCCAGTCAATTTGCTGCGTCAGGAGGCGCAAAGGCGCGAATTGGCCATATTGACAACGAAGAGGGGTGTGTCAATTTGCAAGGAGTTTTCGTCGATGATGTGGAGGTGATAGGCAGAGTATGGGAGGAAAGACCCGGATCTGGTACCCACCGAGGCGAACTGAAGAAGTCAGAGCTTTTTTCAAGCAGAGGCTTCCATATGAAGATCGTTAGTCCATTTATTCAGGAGCTCAACCTTTTCTTTGACGATGCTCTGAGCAAAGGAACCGCTTTGGACCCTAGTGTAATCGAAGAAGCAAGATGGCGGACTCCAATCGGAGATAAAGAATGGGAAGACGAAGTTGCAAGTGCGCGAAGAGCCACAAACCAGAGTCGAGGGGTCCACTTAGAAGTGTGTCGGAGGATCGAGGTCCAGAAAAGTATTCCTGTTTCGAGAAAGAAACAAACCCAAAAGCGGAGGTTTGTCTTGCTCCATGTTTTGTGGTTCCTGCTCCGTGTCCTGGGTTATCTGTTTTGGGCGCTTCTGCGGTTTCTATTCAAGCGTCTCTATAGGTTGGTGGTGATGCCCCAAGTGCCTTCGGAGAAAGATAGCAGCTTTGTATTTCCTATAGACACGGGAGCTGGGGTTTCATACATGAACTTTATGCAGCAGATGTATGGCAGACGGCCTTTCAGGACGCGAAATGGATATGTGGGTTTGGGCCCGGCGGCTATGACAAAAGGGGACATTGTGTGTATTATTTTGGGTGCTCAAGTACCGTATGTACTTAGACCACATGGGAAAGGTCGATATCAGCTTATCGGGTGAGTTATCACATCTTCCTGCCACTACCTTCTCGCAGGTGCAGTGTTCTGACGACTAGCATGAACAGCGAAGCTTATATCCATGGCATAATGGATGGCGAGTTCATGGACACAAATACATTGACAGTGGAGTTTACTCTTTGTTAGTGCTTTGAGCTTTCAATCCCTGATGAGGGATTTGCTTGGGGCGAGGGGTGAGGTCTTGGAGCATGTGAATGGAGGATTGAAACTGCTGGTTTATTGGAATATGGAGATGGCGCCAAAACCCGATGAGATGCAGGAACAATCTCAAATACGTGCCTTGGCTAGCACCGGGTAGCGCCGGTTGGGAAAATTGTCTATTCGCGGCATGATATCATGACATGCCCTTGGCGCATCCCAGCCTTCCGCAACGTCTTACTTCCCTTCAACTTCATTGACGATCATCACCAATTTATTCAGTTAAAATGAGTACTGGCAAGGGAAATAGATCTAGCTTGAAGGAATTCTTAGCAGTGCGTCATTTTCCTCAATTTAACACATCCCTTCGTAACAGCTCACAAAAACACAGTCAATCGCAGTCATCAAAGGTGACCTCTCAAACATCACCGCCCCGCCTTTCGTCCTCGCAACTCAATCAACGGTCGAGTTCCCATCATACTGGGCCTCTCATCCTGAACAGTTCCTGGCACCGGCATCAGAGCCTGACCCTGCCAAACGCGCGCTCTTGGTGCTACGTTGGTTTCTAACGAGCCTTAAGAATCAGCAATACGGCGGACGGGCTGAAAATGAAGGTGTCAAGAAACCATTGAACGCCTTCCTAGGCGAGCTGTTTCTCGCGCAAGGAGAAGATGGCACAAGATTGATAGCGGAGCAAGTCTCGCATCATCCGCCGGTGACGGCATGCTATTTATGGAATGATCAGGCTGGTATCAGGGCGGAAGGCTACGCATGCCAGGAGATCAGCTTCAATGGGAGCGTGAACGTCAAGCAAATTGGCCATGCGATCCTCCATCTCGATGCGTACAAGGAGGATTACCTGATTCCTCTTGCGGATGTCAAGATCAAGGGTATATTGAGTGGCACCACATATCCGGAACTGGATGGAGAATATCATATCATGTCATCCACGGGATTCGTGTCCGAGATTGATTTCTCGGGGAAGAAACTGCTTGGGGGAAGAAGAATAGTGTGCATGCCACACTGTTCAAGCAGGAACCGACCGGAGACAAGAAGCATCCTCTCTTCACGATTTCGGGGCAGTGGAATGACGAGGTAACTATTTACGAAGGCGGAGACGATGGTCGGGTAATCGAGACTATCAATGTGCCTGCAATAAAGTCGCTCCCTATGAAAGTTGAAGACTTGGAGCAGCAAGACGAATGGGAATCGCGCAAAGCGTGGGCAGGTGTCATTGCTGCATTGAACAACGGCGATATGCAAAGAACAGTTGACGAAAAGTCCAAGGTCGAGGAAGCGCAGAGACAAATGAGAAAGCGTGAGGAGGAAAAAGGTGTGAAGTGGGAGCCCTTGTTTTTCTCGAGACTACAGACGACGAGAGATCCGATACTTGAGGACTTGGCCACAGAGCCCATGAAAGATGGTCTGTTTTCCTCGCAATCTGGAATGTGGAAGTTCAATCACGAGAAATTGAGGAAGGGTATCGAAAAGCCGTTTCATGGATCATTAAAACCGAATGTTGGACAACTTCAATGATAGCATGCTGTGCGATCCGGGAGGGATGGAAGATAGAATGGAAGAAAAGTCAATAGAGAAAGTAGAACCCGTTTCAAGATTTGTTATATATCAAATTACGCATCTTCTTGCCCCAGTAGCTATGAGATAAACGAGGATGGTTTGTAGCCGAAGCGTTTAAATAGTGCATGAGTGAATTGGCCGGCAAGAGTTGGGATAGAGTTTAGTATGAAGTGGATCTTCCGCATCCATCTTAAAGACACTATTCTCGTAGATTTCACAGTGTGAGTGCAGGACTGGTCGAATTTGGATCCCTTCCATTTGGCAAAAAGAGGGGGTGGGTAATGCTAAGAAATATGAGAATTCACGTGCATCATAATTAATCTCAACGTAAGAAGAAGGGAAACACATGCTAAGCGTTGTGGTCTAAATTTTACGGAAAAGAAGTAAACTATCAAGCAACGGTCACAAAAAAGCCCTTCTCACCCTCCCTCTGCACCACCGTCCCCATCTTCAATATCTCATCTCCCACTGCTAACCTGAGCCTCTCCGGTGTCGCTGGGCTATCCAGTACCAGCGGCTCATTTACTCCATTATCTTTCCGCGCGCTCATAACCGCCATCCTCAGCGCAAAAAGCACACTCGCACCCAAGAACAGCGGCGGTTCCCCAACACCCTTAGAACTCTGGATACTCCTCAAATGCCCCCATTCCACGCCCTGCAAAAAACTGACATTGAATTCCTGCGGAATGTCGCTGAACCCAGGGATTTTATATGTCCCAGGCCCAGTCGTCGCCAATTTCCCGTCTTGTGTCCAGAGACTTTCTTCCATCGTATACAAGCCCAATCCCTGCACAAACGCTCCTTCAATCTGGCCGTAGTCGATAGCAGGGTTTATCGATCTTCCGATGTCCATCTTGATATCTGTGCGGAGAACAGTGTGTGAGCCAGTGAGGACATCGAGCTCGACCTCAGAGATTGCTACGCCTTGCGTGAAGTAGTAGTACATTGGTTTTTGTGTCTCGATGTTGTAATTACCCCATGTATAACCGATGCGAGGCATTTTCCAGAACCCGTTTGCGGAGAGGTTTACGCGTTCGAGATAGGCGGCATGTGCGAGTGTTTTCATGTCTGCGTCTTTGCCAAACTTCTCTCGAAAGGGGGCCAAGCGTTCATTTAGCTGATCGCAAGCATCCTTGATCGCCATGCCGTTGAGATCACTTCCCGATGAAGCCGCAGTCGGGGATGCATTGGCGATCTGGTAGGTCGTGGAATCTGGCGTAAAAATTGCGTCAATGGGGACGTTGAGTTCTTGGGCTGCGACTTGCACCATTTTCGTGTAGAGTCCTTGACCCATTTCTGTTCCGCCGTGGTGCAGAAGAATACTACCGTCTGCGTAGATCTTCACGCTAGCCCCAGCCTGATTCAAGTGAAGTGCTGTTGCGAAACTCAATCCAAACTTGGTTGGGATCATGGAGATTCCACGTTTTCTCCATTTGTGAGAGGCGTTGAACTTTTGAATGGATGCGAGACGAGCGTCGTAGTTGGCTTCTTGGTGGATTTGGGAGACGAGAAGAGGGATGTGCCAGTCTTGGTCGATTTTTTGGAGGAAAGGGGTGAGTTGTCCTTCTTTGTAGAGGTTTCTGAGGCGGAGTTCGTCAATGGGGATGTGGAGACCTTCGGCGACAGCAGTCATGTAACTCTCCGTAATGAACATCGCCTGCGGTCCACCAAATCCTCTGAACGCTGTGTTGCTGTGTGTATTAGTCTTACACACATGTCCCCGGATCAGTACATTCGGGATCTCATAGCAATTATCAAGGTGAGTGCAACATCTATCCATCACCGCGCCAGACATATCTTGCGAGAATCCAGCGTTGTCATACACATCTGCTTCAAGGGCAATCAATTTTCCGTTGGAGGTGCAGCCGACCTTCCACCGTGATTGGATCGGGTGCCGTTGGCCAGTTGTCATCATGTCTTCGTCACGATTCAGCATGCAACGCATTGGTCGTCCTTCTTTCTTTGCAGCAACGGCGAGCAGGCAGGCGAGTTGTACTGAGCGTGATTCTTTGCCGCCGAAAGCACCGCCCATGCGTTTTACACGGGCGTCCACGCGGTGACTGGGAACACCGGTAACTTGGGAGACGAATTCCTGAGTTTCCATGCTAGGACGAGAAGTTAGTAGTGCTCCAAAGCTTCATGGGTCGAGATCGGTGGGGTAATGGGTAACCGGCGAAACCTGACCCAGAACCCATAATCTATGGCTGAAGGAGACTTGTACTCACGTGTTCTGCGTGGAAGACCACACCTCAAAGGTCTTGTCCTCTAGATTTGGAATAACCAGCGCCGCATTCGTCTCCAAATAAAAGTGTTCCTGCCCACCAATCCTCGTCGTTCCTTCGAACACCCTCTCACACTTCTCCCACACATCCTCCATTCTTTCCTCAATGGCGGCACCTTTTTTCAGCATTTTCCCATGCTTAAAGAAGCTTCCCGCTTCGATCGCTTCATCAATTGTAAGTATAACAGGAAGATCCTCATATACAATCCTCACAGCTCTCGCTGCTGCTTGTGCCCGAAGCGCCGTTTCGGCGTACACCAATCCGATCGGCTGGCCATGAGAGAATACTTTTCCGTCAGCAAAGAAAGGTTCATCCTTCACCACCGAGCCCCAGAGATTAGCTTCTTTGGGAATCGAGTTCTTGTCAACATATCCCATAGCCAGTCCTAGTCCAAGAGCAGGCGACCAGTCGACTTCAACAAGTTTAGCATGTGCTCGACTAGAGAGAACCATGACACCATAAAGCTCTCGATCTTGAGGCGGCATATCGTCAACATATTGTGCTTCCCCGGTGTTCTGCTTTAAAGCTGATATATGCGGGATTTGCTTCCCCACGATTTTCTGCTCATGCGGATTATGATTGTCCCTTGAGCCAGACGAGATACCACGATGAACCTCGGTTATTAGATCAGGATCAACTTTTCCTAATTTCAAGTCCGCGATGACTTCATGCCAGAAGCGGAAAAACAACGAAATGGCTAGTGTCTTGCGGTAGGTTGGCATCCCTCCTGGTACGCCGAAATTGAGATCGAATTCTTGGGCCAGTGCAGCCGTTCCTGAGTCAAGTGTGGTGGAACTGTGCCATTGCTTTCCGAGAAGGGCTTTCATTGTCGATGTTGCTGCGACGGTCTTGGGTGCCATGCCACCGTATACCAGTGAGATTTCTGAGACTAGACCGTCGTCGTCCAGTCTGACTCTAAAAGCAGCAGTCACAATTGCGATATCGTCATCCTTTCGTTTGGATTGCTTGTATGCTTTGGTAATCTCTATGGCTTTTGGAGGGGGTAGTGGGATGTGGATATGAGTAATTACTGCGTCGTCGGGGAGCGTAGTTGTTCGATAGCCAGTAAAAAAAGTCGGCATCTCCAGGTTGAACTTCACTCTGGATTTGCTTTGGGCAGTCAGAAAAGCTCCACAAGCTACCAAAACGGGGTTGATGTCTGAGATGGGAGATGCGGTTGCGATATTGCCGGCAAGTGATGCGACGTTCCGAATTTGTCTCCCTGCAAAATATCGAAGTTGCTTTCGGATGGCTTCCAAGACAGAACCCCGCTGTCCCAGTCTTCTTGAAAGGTCTCTGCAAAATGCTTCAACATCGGTCAGTGAAGTGTTGGCACCCAAAACAACCTCATAAATGGTGTCGAGGTCCACGTCATTGCTAACAATATCGATCTCACGAAGTTCCTCGATGTCAGATACATAGATTGAAATTGGGAAGGACGAATTCTTGAACCGGACTTCGACTTGGACTTCACTCGCCCCACCAACTACCTTTGCAGACGGATATGCATCTTTGATAAGTAGCAGTTGTTTCAAAGTGACTGGACGAAGCCAAACGTGTGTCGAGTTTCCATAAAATAACGGGTTCTGGTCAAATTTTCTCAAGGCTGGCGGGAACAGGAGTTCGGTATTGGGTGAGTAACAAGCAAAGTCATATTGTGGGACTCCATGCTCAATCTTCGGAACTGATGCATCAAGCTGGCTGCCGATTTTCGTGCCTTCAACTGGAGTACCGTCTGAAGATTGCTTCTCGTTTGATTTGATGGGCTTTCCATAAGTGGTACCACTGATGCTGGCAGAATCGCTTTCGTCGGGACTGCTGATAGCGCTTTCAGATGTGCTGGAACGCTCAATACTTCTTGTTTCTGAAGAATCCTCAGAACGTTTCGGTGATGAGCTTTTGCCTGATGGAGAACTTTTGCCTGCCGTTTTGGGGGGGTCTTTGCAGCATCCACCTGGTCTGCCACAAGAGAAGTTGCTCTTGACCGCACCCTCAGACGTATATGAGATCTCCGAACATTCGCTGTCGTGCGAGACTTCAGCGGTTTCGCCGGACCCAACAATCTTCCCCTTCAGATTTTCCGTGATAAACGTCTTGGCAGCTTGCAGAATCGGTTTATACCCAGTACACCGACATAAATTTCCGTCCAAGTGGCCCTCAAGCTCAACATCACTTTCACGCAGTCGGAACTCCTTCGTAGCTGGGACATACGAGTTCCGAATCATGGCGTAAAGTGACATCACGATACCAGGTGTACAGAATCCGCATCTAAGTCTCATCAGAACCCTTTTTACGATATACTTTTGAGGGTCATGTGTACTCACTGTGAGCCATGCAGTTTCGCCATCCGTTCCTGAAGTGGGTGGGGATTCTCAGAATTCCCAATCCCTTCGACGGTAATGATATGTTTGCCCACCACTGTTCTCGTAATATCAGCGATCCGCTCCCGCATCAGGAAAAGGAGATAGACCCACCTCCGATCAAGGGAAACAAACAAGCATTAACCGCGAGATGCTTCACTCTTCCACTTCGTTCTCGACTCGTATCTAGAGTTTGTATGACAACTGTACATGCACCGCATCCTCCCTCACCGCAGCCAAGTTTCGTACCCTTGAGGCCGTGCTGTGACCGGATGAAGTCGAGGAGTGTCCATTGGGGATTCGGATCGAAGAGCTGTATTCGTGTGCCGTTCAAATAAAATTCCAGCGGCGTCTTCTTGAACACTGCGGTGATCGAGGGGTCCAGCTCCATTGTCTCTTTGTAGAAATGGCGGTGGGCGGGGGAAGTGGAGAGAGAGGAAGTATGAGGAGACGTGGCGAAGTCACGGTGAGGGCGTTGAACCTGACCGACATCTTGAATCTGGATTTCGGAGTGATTTGGAATGTGGGCACGCCACAAGCCACTGAAGTCAAGAGTGGGAAGTTAGAACGGGTAATATCCGTGTGCGAGGAGGGGACGAGTTTGCGAGAGGTTGAATGGCGAAGTGGGGCGAGGTGTGTCTAGCTACAAAAAGTTAGGGCTGAGACGATCCCCTGATCACGACCCCTGAAATGCGGCCGCGCACCCCGCCCCCACTACTGCTTCCCCACTATTGGACGACTAAAGTGTACTTTTGTACACCACCTTTGAGTGAAGAGCTCCGATGAAGAGACACCATTCCATGAGAATTTGAAGTTGGCGGCAAATATCAGGCCACCCACGGGCAAGAATGGGATTTGATTGACCGCCATCTGTCCCTCGGCCAGATCCCCCCAGCACCTTGTCTCTTTCTCTTTCTTCATCACCCGAAAACATCATCGCTCTTGCGAGCTCACTCCAGCCAAATTTCTCTCCCAATCCCCATTTCCTTCGACGATGGGATCACAGAGCCCCCCTTTCCCCCCTCTCGCGGACACAGAACTCTTCACCCCGCTTCCCCTTGGTGCCATAACCCTCTCTCACCGAATCGTCCAGTCACCATGTACTCGAATGCGAGGCGACCTTGAGTCCCCAGGTGTCTGGAAATGCGGTGATGTAGCCGTGGAGTATTATTCTCAACGATCAACCAAAGGTGGATTGCAAATCACCGAAGCAACAAACATCTCTCGCCTCTGCGGCGGCTACCCCGGAATCCCAGGAGTCTTCACCCCAGGCCAGCTCGAAGGGTGGAAGAAAGTTACTGACGCAGTGCACGCAAAAGGGGGCTACATCTTCTGTCAGATCTGGCATGTTGGAAGGGGCACTGTACCGGCACTCATCGAAGGACACCAGACGCTAAGTTCGAGTGATACACCGATCAAAGGGAAAGCTGTCAATGGTGATGAGTATGCAGACTTCCCACCCCGACTCATGACTGTGGAGGAGATTGCAGATGTAGTGAAGCAATTCGCAGACGCTGCGAAAGCGTGCATGGAACAAGCGGGCTTTGATGGAGTTGAGATTCATGGGTTTGTCTTCCCCAACCTCCCTCTTGCCAGTACCAATTGGCTTCTAACCGTAGAACTCAGAGCGAATGGCTACCTCCTCGAACAATTTCTCCATGACAATGTGAATAAACGCACCGATGCCTACGGTGGCTCGATCGAGAATCGCTGCCGCTTCCCACTTGAAGTCATCCGCGCAGTCACTTCCGCAATTGGCCCCGAAAGAGTCGGCATCCGTCTCTCGCCCTACAACTACTACCAAGACACGCGAGACTCGAACCCAAATAAACACTGGGCGTACCTGTGCACCCAAATCGCAGAACTTCCCAAAGAAAATAGAGTTTCGTATGTGCATATGATCGAGCCGAGGTTTGACGAGGAGCTCGATGAGGCCGGTAAGATGGCTGCTTTGGCAGCGTACTCGAAGACGCCGGTGGAAGGCGTCAAATTTGATCCCAAAAGGGTGAATTCTCTGGTTCCGTTCAGAAATATTCTGAAGAAAGGAGGAGTGAGGTTCCTTGCTGCCGGAGGCTTTGGTAGGGAGAATGCAGAGGAGAAGGTTAGGACTGAGGATGCGGATGCTGTTGTGATGGGGCGGTGGTTCATTGCTAACCCGGATTTGGTGAAGAGGTTGAGAGAGGGCTTGCCGTTGAACGCTTATGATAGGAGCACGTTTTATGGGGCAGATCCTAAGACCAAGGGCTATACTGATTATCCTTTCTTTGGGGAGGGGAAGGGTGCTTAATTTCTTTGCGAGAGAGAGGAGATTAGACTCACGATTGGCACACATAGGGAATAGAGAGGATATACTGCTGCGTATTTGATTTTCAAGAACAGACTTGATTGACTCGGACCGCTTGTTCTTGTCATCTCACCTCGCTTATTTCAACCAAACCGGCTTGGACGACATTCTTAAATCCAGACGATTCCTTGCCAATCCCAAGCCCATCCTCAATACTTGGCTCTTTGAAAGTGGACCGACCGAACGATTATGGAGCAGCGTGCATCGGGATACAACACCAACTTGAATCACCGCTTCCAAAAGCGGCTTTCTCAAAGCTGGAAGAGTCTTGCGTTTTGCTCTGTTGGTCGATATAGAGCTGGCCCTGCTCCACACCCTCCTGGTCGAAGTATTGTCTCTGGTATGAATGCATAGCTTCAGAAACCATTACTAAAGCTGAACAATGTTGAAGAGCAGTTAGAGAATAATGATATTCTTGTTTGGATATCAGCCCCAGCGGCGGCTGCTCTTAGTGTTGGAGTAAAACAGAGCTGAGCGGATTCTTTTGTCTATAAATTTCATGGGGTTCTGGTAAGATTAGAAGGATTGTTCATTGTAGAACGAGAGTTGCGTATACACGTACAGGGCTTCCCTATGTTTTGTGTTGCGATCCCATTCTTGTGCGCTTGTTAAGGAGGGCGGAACTAAGACGACAGAAAATATTACCCCGAGAACTTAGAGAGGGCGGAGTGAATGCGAATGGGGATGTATTTGCTCGGTCTTCGCCAGGCGGCTCAGCACTCGCAGTCCTTGTTGTGAAGTGAAAGAGTGAACCTTACATCGGAATGCTGACGTGCTCTTCTTGGCTACGCTTTCTTCGTCTTGTTTCTATAAGGGGTCCTATTTTGGCCCCGACAGCGCTTACTCCGGAGAAACTTTTGGATCCACATTCACGTATATACACATAATAAGGTTACGTAACTCAGCCTCATCATTCATAACGTTTCCGGTTATGGTGCTAATATAATATTAATTCAGCTAGTGCTCAATTTGCTTCCTTTTGCTTCGGATCTCTTAATACTGTACTCTACCCGCGCGCATAGGTAAGGAAAGGGTGATGCGTCAAATGACATCAGCTTTATTCGCGAGGAGAGGAAATAATAGTCGGTTCGACCTTCTTCGCGCGCTGCGGTTGGAGATGGTAAGAACCAAAGTAAAAGTGCTGGACGTGGGGTCCAAATGCTGCGTCTTGGATCTTCGAACAGACATATGTCGGCACGCACTATCTACGATCCTCATAAACATGCAGCAGAAGTTGATCGGGACTGTGCTTGTCTTGCTCAACTCCAACACGACAGCCATGCCCGACGCCGACTTTGCTTCGATGCTTGGTCTATCAGAGTCAGCTCGAATCGATGCCGTTGCAACGCTTGCCCAACAATACCAGCGTTTCTCCACGTCCGCGCCAATCTCTAATTTCCCAACTTCAAATTCTCTCTCACCAAGCGGGCACGGACTTTGCCCCGGTGCTATCATGCTTCTCGAGGATAACGATCCACAGCGGGCCCTAGATTAGGCTCAGGGGCAATGGACATACCCTGTCTGTTGCAAGGGAATGAAAGCTATCCCCCGCACAGAAAGATGGTTCGGATTGCGCTTAGGTACAGGTTCTTGCTGGCACAGCACTTGAAAAGTCCCCATGATATCATATACAGTTGCTCGATCTGCTGGCAGAGGGGTGGGGAGTTTTTGGGTGGGATGGGAAATGAAGAGTGGCGACATCATTTTGAAGATCATCTAGATTCGGAAATGCACGTTTGTGTTGATCGAAAAGGCTTTCAGAAGAGACAAGTTGACTGCAAGGTTAGGGACTGCTAGGGAATCTACACCTAGGCGAGGGCTGAGGTGAATATTCACCAACGCAGAATGTCCACTCTGACGCGACAATTTTTTTTAAGGAAATTAACAATAAGAATAGGGCAAGGAAGAACCTTCAAATAACAATTCAAAATCGATGATCTTTATCAAACAGAGTAAAATGTGGATTTAATACAGAAAACCAGGAAGGCTAGGGGAAGAGCGAGCGATGAGAGAAGAGAGTAGGGAGATAGACGTATAAGACGAGATAGCCTGATCGTAGACTAGGTGAGAGGAGTTAAATATAGTACTGTACATCTTTTCACTCGAAATTATTCATGTATAATTCGACATTGTTTACCCAAATTCGAACTAAGTATTGTTCTCAATCACGAATAGAAAAGCTGCACCACGTCTAATACCGTAAAATACAGTGAGCGGATCGGAACCAAAGCTAAGCTAAGCTTGAGCCGAGCTTGAACAAAAGCAGCGAGAGTTATAGAGAAAGGGTTCGAAAGTGTGTAGACATTCCGGTAGAGAAGCAGGCTCACCTCATTAGGAAATACACTCCCTTCCTGATACGTATAAGTAGCTCTGTAAATCCACTGGGAAAAAGAGAGAGCAAAGCCAGAGGTATCCGTTCCTGGACGGGAGCCAAGGCCATATTTCTCAAGACATCAGCGTTTTGTCTCCGTTCTTATTGAATCGAGTGGGTTTGTCTCATCAGCAACTTAGCTGCTGCTTCCAAGCAGCAGTCTCCTCCTCTCCCTCGACGTCAAGGAGTCTCCCCCTTTCGTCCACTTACCCTCTTCGTCGTCAATGTTTCTCGTTGCGGTGGCGATCTGTAAACCAACATCGTGAACTTGTACATACCGTAAAGCAAAGCCAACCCTCCAAATACACTGCGCACAATAATGGCAATTAACCCCAAAGGCCACTCTCCCCACATTTTATGGAGCAAGTGTTTCAATGTCCTCACTCTCCTGTAATAATCCCATTCGGGCAGCAGGTACACGACATGATCAGGCTCTCTTCCCTTCTTGCTTTCGAAACCGAAGAATCTGAGGACTTTGTCCCATGAATTTAAGTCTTGGTCTAGTTGCCCTGGTTGATGTTGCCGCTCAAGAGCATACCACCGAGATGTTCCGCAGTGCAGTCGCATCTGCCGCCTAAATCGCCGCAGGGTTGTTGCGTACATTCGATTGTGGAGGAGAGGGAGGAAAGGCTATAATTCAAGGGGATCTGTGGGGCGTATATGTTCGGCGGAGGGGACGAGAGGGAGGGGAAGATTGGATCCAAATTGAGGAGGATCTCGGTGTCATCGTTCGAGATACTGATGTTAAAGAGCTAGAAATTGGCACGTAAGTAAAGATCGCGCAGCGATAATTGGGCGAATTCATATGCAGGATCAGATGAGAAAATGGAGTATATACTAGGGCGTTCTCCTCATGGGTAATTTTGTGGCCCCATTCTCGAGTCTGGCCGTTGTTGGACAACCGTAACATTGAAGCTTCGCTATAATGAATTGGCCAGGCTCCACCACTGTAATGTTTCCCAATGAATCCGAGCAGAGATCAACAGAAGAATTGGGGTCTGCACTGCTTGACAGAATGCTGGCCCCGATTTGGAGATGCAGAAAGCAGACCACGGCAAGGCTCAGTGGCCGACTGGCGTAATGGCATCCCACCATTTTGAGGGAAGCATTCCGAATGTCTCAGAAGAGAGCCATCCAGGTAAGGATAGCGACAGTAAAAGCGTCGGGAACTTTGCTTATGGTCACTTCAGAGGCTACAGTGCCTTGAAGATGGGGAAAATGATGAGAACGGCAGTTTGAATCCTGGTCCAAGATCCCCTCGATAACCTTACGGCTAGACCAAACGCCAAGTCACATGATAGCGCGACCCACTTCATATCACCTCCTCCCTGGTCTTCCCTTTCTTCCCTTTCTCGCGAAACAACACACCATCCTCTCCACCGCCCCATCATTACAACCTCAATGTCTTTTCGCTGGCTCACCGACCAGCTCCAAAGATGCCTTTCCGTTTCCTTGACCTGCCTGGGGAGATCCGGAACAAAATCTACTATCAGACCATTCTCTGCAACGTCGAGCCTCCAAATATGACCCTCATCCATGAGGCTCCCACCGAACTTAAATACCTGCGACACAGGTTCTAGCCACAAATACATAGCACCTGTCGGTCTGTTAGCAATGAGGCCAGTTACATCACGGCCAAAACAAACCTCCCCGCCAAGATTACGATCACGATTCATTTGCCGAAGTTCGTCCTATCGTCGTGGTCAAATGCTTGCCTATCTTGGTACTGGATCAGACCAATCTCAACAACCTCAAATGTTTCGTCATATCCCACGAGATAGGTAAGCGTACCAATGACTGAGAAACACCAATGTCTCCGCCCACCTTTGTCCTTCTGCATCGAGACCTCGAAATGTTCTGCGAAGGCCTCTCACATTTCCAATTCACCATCGAACAACACCATGAACATATTTCACAAATAATTACTCTTGTAGATCCTTTTCAAAATGGGCCTCGTACCTCGGAAGTCTCTTCCCGGAAGTTTCAGGATATGCTCATTGCTCCCTACCGCCTCAAGCTGCGTGGATCCCCCCATTTTGTGGCCAAGGGTGCTATCTCAGATGATCTTGCTGTTGCTGCTATGGCGCAGATTACTTGGCCACGGATGGGAGATTACGAGATTGTTCTCTCGGAACTGGAAGAGTTGAAGGCGAAGGGAAATGAAAGTTTCCGAATGGGGGATTTGCCACTTGCCAGCGAGAATTGGTCTAGGGCCTTGATTAATATGCGTCAGCTTATGCAAGGTCCGCCAGGCGCAAAGCTGGAGGGCCAGACTTTGTCAATCGAATGAATGCGCTATACTTCAATCTTTGCTCAAATCGTGCTTAGAATCATATCAAAGCTATGCGAGAAAATCTGCGAGATCGCTCTCTTGTTCGAGCGTACGGGGATAGCTTTTTCCACGCAGTAAATGGAGCATGAGACCCGGCAGAACTCTTCTTACTTTTCCCTGGTGTCACTTGGACCCATCTGATCAACAATTGATGAAACTTTTGCACAGGGAGGTGGTTGGGTGTAGACTTATTGGCGACGCGTACTTCATCAAACAAGCTAAGAGAGCCATTAAAAAATGCGATTGCTTTAGTGCCCGGTGATGCCGAACTTGAGAAAGAAAAGGAGAGAATTTCTCAATGGAGAAGGCGCGTTATTGGTTAGGTACATTTTTACTCCGAAAACGTTACAGATTTCGAGCTCTACTTCGTAACTGCTTCCAGATCCCAGAAGGAGCTGATGATTCAACAATTACCTCCCCCATTGATTCGTAGACGACATTTCGAGCCCCAACTCCAACTCTTACTCACAATTCATCAATCCACTCCAAGGCTGTCGATGGCTCAATACGCTCCCAGCAGTGTGGATTGATATACGTATTCCGAACATTTCCTTTTCCGTCCACCAGCAGCGCCGCAGGCACCGGAACCTCAAACGAATCGTCTCCATTGCGAGCCACCAAATCATGCCCAAATGCCTTGAACGTGGGGCGCAATGAATCAGGCATAAGAAAGATAATCCCCAGTTCTCTAGCAAACTTATTCCCCAGGTCTGAAAGAACGGGAAACTTGACTTCATTCTTTGCTTTAGTCGAGAGCGAACTGTTTGGAAGTTCTGGTGAGATGGCAACAAGAGTGACACCTTTGGCTTGGATCTTATCGAGATTCAGTTGCAGAGAGCGAAGCGCGAGGTTGCAGAACGGGCACCATTCGCCACGGTAGAAGGTGATCAGAAGGGGCCCTTCCTTGAGGAGTTCCTCGCTTTCAGTGTGTCAAATGATTTGGTCTGATTTGATTATAGCCTCTAAATCAAATCATAATTAACTATAATCAACTATAGTTGATTATAGTTAATTATTTAGTCACGTGACCTCGCACGTGCGCTCGAAGTTTAGAAAGCGAGATAAGGCTAAAATAAAGCTTGGGCTAGCCCGTATCCGGTATCGTTTAAGGTGCTGCTTACTAAATCGGGTATCGCGCCGCTTGGTAAGCGAAGCAGCGCGAGCCGAAAGCGTTAAAACCTCCTCGGTTTTCTAGTACTTTCTCGCTACCTTATAAATCTTATTATTATAAATAAAATAGCTAAAAATAGGCACTCTTATAAACAAGTGCTTTAAAATTAGGGGGTTACATATAATTAGACTCTTATTAAATAATCTACTAGATTCTAGAGGATTTATATATAAATAAGTAATTTTCCTTAAGTATTACGTGGTACCAGTCACGTGGCACCACTGCACGTGACTTAGTGTGAAGCCAGTGCTTTTAGCCCGGCAGATAGCCTTTAGCTTAATTCAAGCTCTTTACTACCACTGCAATATTACCTTATTGTGACATTAAGTTACTTCCTTTCTCCTTACTTTATATATAAATATCTCAATAACTAAAGCTTTAATTAAGAAGCTTTCGACTATAAACTTATTTATTTTTACTCGATATATTCGAAAATGTCTGTAATGGGCACACGTGATGGCGTATGGACAGGTATTAGATATTGTGGATCTAGTTTCCTATTTTGGGTAAAGCTTGCGATCGGAATCATACGGGCAATCGGAATTATACGGATTGCATAGGATCGTGTTTCCTAGTTAAGTAAAGTGCTTCGCAGGCTTGGCTAAGTACTAGGGAACATATAGGGAGACGCTCCTAGCTTTGGAAAGGGGTATTAATTAGTCTTTTATTAGAATCGATTCTTGGAATCAGTTACACTTGCAAGCGTCACTCTGCAGCTTACTTACCTTGACTACTTGTGTATTACCCTGCTATTACGTGCCTTACAATGTCTCAATAATCTTTAATTAAACTTAATATCCTTCAAAATAGGGAGAAATAAAAAAATAAAAAGAGGTTTCTAACGAGAATAACCAGTTTTTTATACCTGATTTAGACTAGATTTATACTCTTATATAGATATTATAAGTTTTGTTTATATCTTATTAATATAGCCGTTAGTTATTTAATAATCTTTTAAGTTACTTGAGAAATTCAAGTTTTTTTAATATTATATAATAATTATAGTTAATTATAATTGAAAATAATCATAATCAACTATAATCAACTATAGTTAATTATAATTAATTAGCCTTGATTTTTTTTTGGGACACATAGCTCGCTTTTGACTTCCTTGCCTAGAGCATCGCTCAATGCGAAGGATGGCAGCTTGTCGCCAACTTTGATCGTGGATTGGTCTTTGAATGCAGCTTCGAAGGCAGAGTTTATGCCATTGATGGTCTGCCATACATGGGCGAGAGCATTTTTCTAGAAGTTGTCATAGACGACGCTGAGCTGGGGTGCGAGGCTCATGACTAATTTAAGTGGAAGGGTTAAACAGGAAGTGCTTGTTTTGTACACGGAAATAGACAGTAACCGAGATCCAAGGTCAACGCACGCCCAAGGTCAATGCACGCTCAAGTTTAGCCGAATACTCGATATTAAATACTTAATTATTAAATAACTACTAATTGAAATAATAAACTTCTTTAAGTTCTATAAAGAGAAGAAGCCAAAATTTAATATATAATTTTTTATTAATTAATCTTCAATTTTTAATAACCTTAAACTTAGCTTTTATTAAAATATTAAAAAACTTAATAATTTTAATTTAATATTTAATAATTATGTCTATATGAGTTCTTTAAAGTTAATATTAATAATAATACTTCATTATATATAGAGGTATAAATATATAATATAAAAAGTTCATATTATTATATATTACTTATAAAATTTTACTTTTAACTTTAATTTTTAAATAAAATATTAAAAATTCTTAAAAGAAGCTTAAATTAAGAAATAACTAAAGAAATTATATAATAAAAGCTTTCTTATATAAAACTTACTTAAAATAGTTATATTTCTTATATTAAATAGTTATATAATTTGTAATTTATTATAATATAATTTAATAATATAAATAATTAATTTCTGCTTTTAAATATTATTATATACTAATTTGCATTTAATATATTATTTATTTTATATTCTTTACTTTATATAATATTATAATATTATAAGAAATTTTTTTTAGAAATACTTTTATTTACCTTTAATTTAATTATTTTTAATAAAAAGGGACATGTTTTTAAATAAAATATAAAACATATTTTATTTATTTATTAAAGTAAACGACCAGACGGCAAGCCCGCATCAGGAAACCGCGACCCCCGTATCGGGCAAGGCACGCGCATAGGCCCGCCGCCGCTTTTGCGGGGTATAAAAATCTCGCAACTCCATCGCTTGCTCCTTTCCCTTCTTCCTTCCTTTTCAACAACCCAATAACCTCCGCCTCGCAACGCTCGGTGCTTGTTCTTCATGCGTATTCGGCCCTTCTGCCTAGAATCCTACTCCTTCCCGCCAGGCTTCCCTGATCGGCCACGCCGCAGCTAAGGAAGACCGCACCAGCGAGATACGGGGCAGCTTCAACCAGAATCCGCAATCGCCCCTATAGCTTCGATACTGCTAAGCAGCTATAATGCGGATCCCCTCGCAGGTGCGCCTCGCATTGGCTGAGTTACGAGCTCGATAACGTCCAGACCCTCTTGTAATCTGCCTCGTCGTTATACTATTACCGCCTCTTACTGCAGCGTGCTCCGGAGACTGAGACGCCGTAGATACGGCCTCCCCTCGTTGCAGTATAATGGCCAGTTACAGAAATGCCTTACGACGATGCGGCCTGGCTTCTGCCTAGCTATGCCCCAGGTGCCGTAGGTGGATGATACGTTAGGAGCTTCCTGGTGAGTTTCCCCGTTGCCGCAGCATATGTCGTATTCGTCTTGATTGCGTAGCCCTGGGCTGATTCGAAGCGGCAGGATCATTACGAGGGCTCTGCCAGGAGCATTTCCTTGGAGGATCTGCTAAGGATCCGCTAATTGGACCGCGCCAGCTACAGGATTAGTAGCTGAGACGCCGGACGACGGGAAGGACCTGGAATGTGCCAGTCTACTAGTCTGCCTGAAGCCTTCGGACGGGCGGAGAGGGCAATATCCGAAGTCATATACCCCCTCCTCGTATAACGATCCTTGCTTCTTCCTGCTTAGCTTTTCATGGCCTTGCCGACGATCGAGAGATAATACTGAGATCGGCCGATCGTGGTATATAGTAAAGCGGGAGTAATAGCTGCGGATGGGTATATTCCGGTATAAGAGTGCAGGATCGACGGTAATAAGGCCTTGTAGCTGCGGCGGGATCTCTCTGTACGAGAGGGGCCGTATTAATACCGAGGTATTTTTACGGAGAGGGTATTAGGAGGTAGAAGAGAATGGCATGGCATGGCATGGTACGGCGGGCCATAAGGCATATTCCGGTTCTGCAAGGGCAGTACGAGAAGCCTATATGAACCTATTAATTTCCCCGTCTCTGCTATTTCTTTTTGTAATCCAGTTATATAGCCAGTAGCCAGCGGAGAACTTCTCGAATACTCTTAGTTATTTCTACGTACTCGAGATAGCTACTCTTGCCTTTAAACCTTATATCTATAAGCCAACTGCTCCGTACTCTAAGAGTATAGCAACCTACCGCAGACCTGCCCCGGAATAGGTTAGTATCCTTAATAAGCTCTAGTATATTATGTCGAGTAGTATATTACTTAGTACCCCGCGGCCAGTAGCTGATAATAGGGGCTATAGGCCCGGAATCCGAGGTATATAATGGAGTTGTATTGGCTTGTAGTAATAGTAACTGACTTGTGGGAATCTGACTAGGTACCGGTACTGTTTTCGGCGGTAGTAATAAAGCAAATAATAACGAAACCAATAATGACCGAGACCTTCCCATAATTGAAGAATTACTATTTACTAATCTATAAGTATAGGGCTTTATAACCGGGGGTCGAGGCCCAGATAAGACGAGCGGAGTTGAGGAGGTAGTAGCAGATGAGAGGGGTGGCTCTATTGACTAGAGCAGGTTAGTACAAAGCAGTAACTCAGGCGGGAGTCCAGGTGAGCTATATTTACTATACCTTCTATTATGGAAATGGACGGCCAATTTTTCTAATATAGTATAGATAATCCAATTGTTCTCCTAGGTAACGGCAACTTGAGTGCCTCCGAAGCCGAAGCTAATAATATTAGTCTTTATACCGAAAGTGTAATAGTACCAGGCGCTGGACTTTTTGATAGCTTAGAGACAGCCATTAACTCGAAAACTCCGGCCCCTCTTTGTAGTTCCGATAGATAGTACGATATTAATGACTTCCCCGAGCCGGCTCTATACTTGCGGCTTGCGGAACAAGGAGCTTTGATGCCAGGCTCTCTGCCTTATATCTCTTCTTTATGCCTCTCGAGCGAGCTATTATATAATAGTATTAGTACGGATTCCAAGGCAACGAGCCCCTTTTCGAGCCCGCCTCTATGCCATTACAGAGTATTGCCAGAGACCCAGCTCAGTTAAGAGGGTCGTCTTTATACCAGTCGAGGCATGGTAGACAAATACAAGCTGGTTAACTATATGCTCAATACTTTCCTTATTAATAAAGGGGCGAGGAAGTAGCAAGAGGTGGAGTAGGTACAGGAGAAGGATAAAGGCAATAGTGAGGATAAAGATAAGGGGCTATAGCAAGAGATAAATATTATAGTACCGGTGGTAATGGCCGAAAGGGCTAGTAGAAGCCCAAGACCGGCTAACCGACGGTAATTGCTTCCTAACCTCGACCTATTTCCAGAACCGAGTCATAACGAGGCAGGAAGCCGATATAATCGTAATAGCGATAACGAGCTCAATAGCTCCGATTTGGCTGGGGACAATAAGAAGAAACCATGTCCTGCCAAGCGGAAGCAGCTATTCTTATCTTATAGTGGCCCAATATGTAAGAAGCGCAGGCGCCCTCTTTAGTAAAGCCCTCCCTATTAGTATTGACCTCTCTCCAAGCCCTATTACTAGTATCCCAAGTCGCACTTCCCTCTTAACCAGAGGTCAAGAGTTGCTATAAGCTCGAGTACCGAGGGCCGATTGCCTTTACCGGCGCCTTCTATACTATAAAGTATAGATATAATAATACCGCTTAATGACTCTAGCCTTAGTTGATTATCCAGAGCTACTCTACCGATACTAACCGAGATCACGTTCCGTCTGTACTCCGTATACTACTATTTCTTTACGGTAGTTGTCCGGAATGGTTGTAACGGGCGAGGACTCTCTCTTGCCCAGGTTATCTGACTTATCGCAAGTACCGGCCATATAGGGAAGATCGACGACTTTACTATTAAGCTAATAGAGCAATATTCGTATCTCTTAAGTAGCTTTAGCTGGCATACCTCATCCCGGCTCTCGTCTAGTAATACGGCTCTATTGACTATTGCGGAGGCAGGCCGTAACTATATTAATGTAATATAAACCGGACCCTACTATAATAGAGCCGTTAATATTAGAGCTCTTGTATTGTAAAGGTACGAGCCGTTAAGTAGTAATAATGATAGTGGTTTAAGTAATAGTAATCCTAATATTAGTAGTAACAATAATATGTATTCGAGCGAGGCTAAGAAGCAGGGCGGTTTGAGTATAAGAATGAATATCCCATAGGACCCTATAGACGAGTAGTACTTGGTAGTATAGAAGAAGGAGGGCAAGCCTTGGGACTGGATCTTTAAAAAGTTTTCAGGCAGGACTTATCCCGTAATATGTATATACTAGAGTATGGTTCATTCCAGAAGCGAGTAAGCTTTCTCTTATAGGTAGACAGAGAGTAGCTCAAGTTCTATATGCCTACTTGTCTACTGGGACGAATATCTAATAAGGACCTTACCTTTCTGTCGGCTAGTCCCAATACGGGAGTATATACGGTCGAGGGAAGCGGCGTTTAAAGTAAGGCAAATAAGAGGGTCAGATATATGAATGGAATAATATAGAAGAAAATAGAGAGGTTATTATCGGAAGCAGATATAAGGCATATTGTATTTATAGGAAACAATTAATATATTATATAATAAGTCATATATTTATTAATATTCCTGGTATTATTATATTATATAGTTCTCTCTCTATCCTTTTCAAAAATAAAACCCCCCCTAACCAAAACAATAATACTAATTCCCAGTACTCCTGCCTATATATTTGCCTATTCCTCCTTTCTCAAAGAGGTTATTGCCCCGTCAAATGCCTTAATTATCCTATTGTATATTACTATAGTTATGGAACATACCTGTAAAAATGTCCCTATCCCTAATTAGAAAGAGAGCAGATCAGAGCTTGCGAGCTAACGGCTTGAGATTCTCGAACTCCGGTATAAACTCCGTAAT